TGACCTGTTTCCTCTCTCACAAGTCCCTAAACTTTATGAAAGTGCAGGAAAGGAAATGCAGGCGTCTCCCTTTAAAAAATCAATTATTAAAATAGTTGTCGATTTATTCTCTTTGGGTCATTAAATCAACTAATCTTTTGAGCAAAACTTTGATCTACACGCTCTTTCTCATTAATTTGCTTTACAGCCCATCTGCCAACATGTGAGGAAGGTTTTCTGCCAATACGACCCCTTCTGCAGCAAAGAAAGCAACCTGCTGTTTAATATTGAATGACTCCTGTCATTTCTTGGCCCAACAAAAGGCTTTTGTGCTGCTTCCGCTTGACCACTTCACACAAATAACCTACATCAAAGAGAGAGAGAGAAAGTCTCAGTCTTCCAGTCGCCGCCTTGCCCTTTCGGCCAACCCCACTGTCCATCGCATGGATCAGGGTGGATTGTATCAGCGCTGGTCTGCCCTCCAACCAATAGGGCACCATGGGTCGAAGCTCAAAGTCAAAGGCAGGGCACTGGGGACTGCTGTGAGGGCCACGGGGCGGTGTAAGATCCACCTGCGCGCATACATAATAGAAAACCCACCAACTGTCAATGCTCCAACCCTGCTCCCTCCGTCTCTTTGTCCCTTTCTTCAGTTTTCTTTCTGCTTCTCCACCTGCAGTGAGGACAGCAGCAAGAAGGACAAAACAGATCCCATGCCCTTAAACAGCCTGGTTTATTACGCTGTTGTCTGCATTCTACCCTTCAGCATAAACAAAACGCATAAATCTACACCCCAAATCCACAACAAGATGCACGACCATGCCATGAGTAATGTCGTCCGCGCACACTTTTGACACTCGTCCATCTCGGGAGTGGTGGGGGTGATCTCAGCAATGAGGAATGCACATAAACTCATGACTAACGAACCACATGTGGTCCAGAGGATTTCTTCATCACAGACACGAAAAACAAAAAACAGTTGTGCTCCAGCTTTTGTTTTCTGTTTTCATAAATTGTTGTTCGTGACATCTAATTTGGAAGATTTACAAGGCTGCGCTGCCAAAAAAGTTGACAAGATGCCACTGCGGGAATTAATTTGGACTCAACACTAGTAGCAGCCTCACTCAACAAAGACCTCATACGAAGGTTATGAGCTGGCACTGATTCTGTAAACTCCTCATCCCAGCGCATGTATTGAATGACTCAGAGAAACCTTGACAATTGTTCAGAGCAGCCCCTCATTCTCCCTGACAGAGCAGGTGCACCATCTGGCAACTTTAATGTTGGTTTACAATGCTGCAGCAGTGCAGTGCATGACTCATATGTTTGCATGAGACTGAAAGCAGAGCACTGAGAAGATACAGGATCCAAAGGTATGTGGGCTCCCGAGGGTTTCGGTTTGTCTCTCGGTGAATAAGCCGGGTCCATGTGACACACCCCTGCTGCGTCCTGTCTCTGCACCAGGCTTAACTGGCCTTCCACCCTCATGAGGGAACATGAAGGTCTCCTATTTCCCCCTACTGAGAAAACAATACAAAGTTTACCATAACATTAAACAGTTATTTCACCCAACACCACACCCGTCTGAACAATTTGTTCCCCTTGTGGAATGTTCTGGATGGATGCTGTCAGAAAGAGAGCTGAAAAGACATGAGTGTACCCTAATGTCAAAGTTAATTGACAGTGGGAGGAGGCAAGTGTTAAAAGTCAGCGAACCTCATTTTTCACACTATATATTCACATGCCAAAAAGAAACAATGGTCATTAAACAATACAGTATCATTAATTAGTAAAAGTGTACTCTGTAAGTTTAGAGAAATTGAAATCAATAAAGATGGCATTGACTAGATGCTATTCACCTTTATCTATCAACAAACGATAAAATGTTTAATCAAGAAAACCAAGAAAACGATAAACCTTGGCCAATCCTGTGTATTTTAACGACCACCCTTTTTTTTGTTTAAAGATTTTTTTTTTCTGCATTTCTGCTTTATTTCTTTAGCAACAGTAGAGATAGACAGGAAAGTCAGGGGAGAGAGAGAGGGAATGCCATGCAGCAAAGGGCCCGGGCGAACTCGAACAGGCCGCTGTGGTAAGGACTTAGCCTTAGCACATGCTACACGCTCTACGAAGTGAGCTACCAGGGCACCCCGACCCCTGTTCTTAAATTTGTATTCGTGCCTGATAGTACTAATAATGAGCAATTTAGCCTGAAAGTTGTTGATATTCGAAGGACTAGTTTGGCTACTATTACTATCACTAAAATAATAAAATAGCTAAAATAGCTAAGGCTGAGCTAAAAGTTAGAGGAGATAATACCACAGTCTCCATCTCTACAATCTTCAAGGGACAGGCTCAGTAAATATCAAGGGAAGTAGTTGAAAAAAAGAGTAAGTGAACCTTGAGTTAAGTTTATATATACAGTATATATAAAATGAGAAATGCACATTAGCACACAAACCTTTTCTAACTTCACTATAGCTAGCTTAGCTTAGCTAAAGCTATTTTAGCTAGTTAAAGTTGCTTTTAAAATAAAAGCAAACAGCAGTCATGAGGTTTGAGTTGATAATAAAATCTCTGCTGAGCAAAGGTAACTGCAGCTAGAAAACCCTGTGTAGCTGCTTTGCACTGTGTAGTTGCCTTTTTCACAGGCTACATAACTGAAAAAGCTGTGGTTCTTTTGCTGCCCAACTGAGGTTTCACTCAACCGCTGAGATTATTTCTGCCTGTATGAGCTAGTATAATGATTGATTGTAAAACAAAAACTCTTGCTCAGACCAACCTTTGTAAACAGCTGCATGTTAAATGAGAGCTGTCACCTTCTTATGCTCCAGAAAAGCATCAGCTAGAGGAATGTTTAAATTAACCCCCCCCCCCAGTACAAAGATGAGGTTCAGTATTGTGGTTTAAAAGGTTTTCCAGAATTGCCTTATTTTGGGAAGATGTATAAAATAGATTTATTTTTTTCTGGCAGTATTTGGAGCCTTGCATGTTTTTAATTAGCTGTAAGTGAGTATTTCACTCTTGGTTCACAGTCTGGCAGAGCAAGGCGTGTAACGTCTTTGGTCTTTCCAGCGTTAGGATAATATTGCCTCTGCACTGAGCTCTCTGTGATATCTGTGATGCTATCTTCTCAGCTTTGAAGCATGAGACTGATGCGATCTCTCTCTCTCTCTCTAGAAGTTTCTCTTTTTATTAAACACACATCTGCTTGACAGGGCACCTTGACTTTTAATTTTGTTTCTGGCAAGTCAGGTAAAAACATAATCGTATTTGTGTGCATGTTCTTGATTAGGTGCCGGATGATGCTCTTGCCTCCAAAAGACCCCGCTCTTACTTCAAGGCATTAACCATATAAGGCGATTTACCTAAACATGGTGAATGTAGAGAGTGAAGAGTCGTGGGAAACTCGCCTGCAACTGAAGTGGTTAACTTTTCTTTTATTTAAAGTTAAACACTCCAAGCTTTTACGTGGCGAATCCGCCAAACAACAGCTTGTGATCAGAGTGAGGGGTGCCACAGAAAAAGCCACTTCCCTTCAAGATAAAAGGCCCCAGCCTCAAAAGCGTATGTCACACAATAATGAAAATGTGACTTTAGCCCACGGCATTGAAGCAAAGCATAGGCAACCTGTTTGTTGATTAGAGGAGGGAATACAAAGAAAGCCCAGAGAGGATCAGTGAAGGGGAGGAAATTGAGGGTGTAGATCTACATTGCCCCCCCCCCCCGACACCGGGCCTGCTCTCAGTGCAGATTGAAAAATTGATAAATATGCATGAGTTTGGCTTCAACAGTGAGGGCCTTTGATGGTATGGTTGAGAGTTTTCTATCTCTGGAGCAAATAGGCTGAAAATAACTGTCTGAGCATGTTTACTTTGTGTGTGTGAACAATGTGTGCTGTTAATGAGTAGAGAAGACTCTGCGGTGTACAGTATATACTGTATCTCTCCCAACAAGTTCTCTCTAGACGCAGCTTCTTTTTTAATTGACTGGATGAAAGTTAGGTGAAACAGGCAGTGTCTTTACCAATAAATCATTGTAAGATCAATTTCAGGAGCCATTCAGGCTGTGTTCATTAAGTCTCAGTCCGTACGGTTCAGAACAGACTGCTTTTTATCTTTCTAGAAATAAGAATGATCTTAATTTTACATCATTTTGTGAATATTAAAACCTTTTGATTCTGACTTGACTCAGTCTCAGCCACCTCTTTTTTTCAGGTTTATAATCACTATTTTAAATTACATGTGTTCATTTTGCAGATACTTTTGTCCAACGTGACTTACAAATGAAGTACAGATTATAACAGATAACACAACTTTTTGTCTAATTTATGAAAACACCTCATTTTTATATTTCTGAAGAAATATGAACCTTTACCCTTTTAGATTAAGTAAACCCATAATTTGACTGACCGCATCACTAGTATCCAGTTCCTATCACATTTTAATATGATTGTACCAAGGGATATCACAATAGACTGGTATTGAATGAACATTGTTTCATGCGGACACAGTCTTGGCTGGTCTGACTTGGTCTTGTCTTGGTCTTAAGTGATCTTAACTGCAGGAACTGTCTCTTTTGCATGTGTTCCTAATACACAAGAGAGGGATTATGGATGTTTTTTCAACTTAACTGGCCGTGCTTCTGTGTGTCATACTATATATGATAATAACTATCTGCGGTATACTTGTAAATTGCTGCTGCATTGCACCTTGAATATATATTTGCAGCAGTGGCTCGGCTCTCCCATTACAAGAACTGAGGCGTGTTTAAAAACCAGCATGCAAAATCCTAAAAGTCATATTACAGTCGTACTGAGTTTTCTTTTCAGATCTCTTGGGCTCAAGTGTGGACATAATTTGAAGATCTCTTATTCTGATCAGAGTGAGATTAATGTTGGCTTGTGTGCAGCTGTTTCTCTTGGGTTTAATTTAGTAGAAACAGGAAGAAAATGCCTCTCATCTCATCTCATCTCATCTCAGTGTGGATACAGTCTTATTTTTCCTCCGTGTGTGTCTCAGACCTGCAGGCCTCCCAGTCCTTTGAACACTACAGTATATCAGACAAGGCCATGGACTACAGGATCCTGCAGATGGACGAGGACCAGGACAGGATGTATGTGGGCTGTAAAGACCACGTCCTCTCCATGGACATCAATAACATCACCCATGGCACGCTTAAGGTCAGCAGGTCATGCTTGTTTGTATATTCTAATGCAGTGCTGGCAACCTGCATCTCGATTCTCTGGCCACCACGAAGGAGAAAATAAAATGTTTGTTAAACTGAACAGTACGCGAGGCACATCATAAAACCACTGCAGTACACATTATTCTAATCTGTGCCATGATATGCAAATTACCACACATTTGCCATGATCAGAACAATTTTCAGGTCATTCAAAAGAGCTATAAAAATGCTCGAGCTCTCTGGTAACTGATTTTGCATGCAGTGGAGGACTTATCTTCAGTGTAATTGACAGGCATGAAATGCATAAACAGATGGAAAAGCATTTAGGCTCCCCTAGGGAGAGCCGCACCGCATCCATTTTGTCCAAGTAAATTGCTTGATATATTCATTGAGCTGGACCTTTAAGCGCCTCTCCCAGGTTTAAAAACACACACATTTTCCACAGCCGGTAGTCGGCTGTAATCACTGACACTCAAACAGAAAGTTTCAGGACATTTTGTTTCAGTTTCCAAAAAAAATGTTTCCCTGTGATTTCTGTCTGCATGAGCAGGATATGCTCAAACCTCAGCTCACTCATAATCATTTTATTTCTCAGTAAATCTCTCACTGCTTTCCAGGAGTTATTTGCCCAATTTTCAGTTTAAATGCTTTAAATGTTTGTTTTTCTTTTTTACCACCAGGTGTTTTGGCCTGCATCTACCAGCAAGATAGAGGAATGCCAGATGGCAGGCAAGGATCCTACGGTAAGAAAAGTAAAACTATCCAAAACCATCATGTTGGATCACTTGGGGCCTTTTTACAATTCAAACAATAAATAATGATAATAAATAACAAAAGTAACTAATTAGTCGCTGGTGAGTATTTCCTGCCAGTTCCAAACTTGGACTGTAAATGAAAAAGGGTGTAGGCCACGTGACGTCACCATTAGGTTTCTGGAGAGCGGTTTTGAAGTTCAGAGTGGGCTGCTCTGCCATCGCCATCTTGGCAGAGCCTGACTTGGCCTAACTCCAAAAATCGGCAAAAAGAAGGGGGTGCGTGTGAAGCTGAGACTTCAGTGCATGCATACATGTTTGTGGCAAGCATACGCTCACCCACCTGTCACTCAAAGCGGCCACGCCCCCAATTATGCATAACTTTAAGCCTTAAGAAAATTTAAACAGGGTATATAAAAGTTCACCCCTCATACAGTTGTCACGAAGGGGGAAAAGACCCAAACCGCACCAGTACCAGGCTCTAAACATGTTTATTTCTGCTATAAATTTAGGCATTTTAATATGGGAGTTTACAGGGATTGACTCACTTTTTGAGCCAAAATTGCAGTTTTTGGCAATTCAGTGCTGGCTTCATTTTTCAATTATACTTTCATACATTCTTTAAAGCAAGGCTATGTAATTTTGTGAAGACATAACACATTCTTCCTCTTACAAATGAAAAGCTGAACTCACAGCAGTCCAACTGGTTAGAAAACTAGCCATCATGCTTTTTTGGGCAAGATGGTCCAGATCTAGACTAAAGGTTTTTGCCGGCTGTTCCCAGATCCATTCCTCCAAGTGGGTCCACAGGGGAATCGTGCATGTAGTGTGCACCTCCTGGGATTTCCCTCTCCCATCTGCGAGCTTGTGTCAGGTCCAACCACATGTGTTACAGGCAGCAGATGTCTGCAGGGTCACCGACTGGCTCGGAGTCCTCCTGGCATCGGCGCCGTTTGTCAGGACGAGAGTGAAGTGTGGGCGGATTGAGGGCCACGGAGCACTGTAGAAAAAATAAACCAGAATCAAAGTTTGCAAATGGGACACAGCTCATTGACGCAGAGGTTTCATAACCCGGCCTGATTCTGAGCAGCACTTGTTAGCTGCAACAAGATTTAATGAAGACATACAGCTACACTCAGAAGACTGATTTCCCCTCCGCCTCTGTTTCCCTCTAATTGGGTTGTTCTGAAACGAGCACATGCACAGTTGCCTATAGACACTGCAGTGCAGAAGGCAGGGGAATAGAGGAGGAAAATAAGGGCTTAGTTTTTAAGTAAGCTTTTACATACATTAAAGGCCTGATATTTAAAGATGCAGTACAAGTGAAAATAAAAAGCATCACACCAGGACAAGCGCTGCTCATCTGTCTTACACCATCTCTCCAGTCTCTGACAGCAGCTGGGGTAGTAGAGCCAGGGTTTTGTAGAACACGCTGTTGCAGAAATAGAGAAGAAGCTGTTTCCAGTCAATGAGTGATTTGTGCTGCTCTGAGTCACAGACCGCCTGCTGCAGACAGGCTCCCACAAATATTTGGGTGAGCCATCTCTGTGTGGAGCCACGCTGTGTCGCCCCCCCCCCCCTTCTGTCATCCCCTCTCCTGCATGCAGCTCTGCCAGATTTGCTTCTAAAACTTTCAGTTTCCGTTTCAGTCTTGCTCTTTTTTTTTCAGGTCACTTTTTCCAACTCTTTTGAGTCCTCTCTGTTTTTTACCGCAGTGTATTTTTTCATCCATAATAGCCGTCTTCTTTCTCGTGAGTTTCTTCATTTGAATCAGAGTCCGCCCCCAGCGCTTCTGTTATGGTTACCCGCCCCATCTGTATATATTAAGTTCCTCTTCTCCGATAGAGTCTGTGGTCAAGCAGAGCTCCACGGAGTCACCGCACATTGTTTGCGCCGGAGGGTGGCACATGAGGAGGAATATAGAGCCAGGTTGATTAAGTCTGTTTGCCGCTCGCTCAAAAGCCACCACTTTAAACTCAGCATGGTCAGCACTTGAACTTGAGGCCATGAGGCTGGATGCTGTTTATTTGGCACAGTCACAAAGGTTGCGTTTGTATCACGAGAGGAAAATAAAACAGGATACGACTATGTATATGTATATATATTCATTGTATATGTGGCTCTGTGAGACTGACATCAGATACGGTTGCAGGCCCCAGACCCTGTTGGTGTGTGATGGTTGAAGTAGAGGGTGATGAGATGAATCTGCGATAAAAGTGAGGAGACAGCAAGACACATTGAGAGAGATAAAGAATAGAAAGATAAATAACAGAAATGGGTGTGTGAGGGTGAAAATTCAGTTGTTTTTCGATAGCTCTCAGTGGAGCTGTGCACCGACCGTGAGCTGCCGCAGCTGCCATTCCTGCGGCCATGGCCAAGTTCCTGGCGGCTCCCTAGATACGTCTAACTCTCCTCCCCACTTCTTTCCCCTCTCTCTATCTTCCTTTCTCCACCAGTGTGCTGCAAGCTCAGGCTTAATTAGCCACCAAGTCCAGCACTCCTGCTGCTGTTGCTGCTGCTGGGTTGGGGAAGTGGAAGCAGAGATATATGGAGATCAGTAATCTGTCTTTCCTCGATATATCACATATACCACTGACACTCTTTTTCCACTGGCCTTAATACCAGACCAGTGAGCTGTGGGATCATTTGATTGTGCTGTATGTGGCTGTTCACGCGTCATAACAAGTGAGATAAGTTTGAATTACTCCCTCATATGGAAAAAGTTCAGGAGAGATAAACAGGTTCTGGATGTGGTGTTCTCCTTGGCTGCATACCAGGAAATAAACTTTATCCTTTGTTATGTCTTTTTTTTTCAGTGCATTGTGTCATAGCTGAGATTAAAACAATATGAAAACAGTCATTATTTTTTATAGTGCCATAATGTCTGCAGCAGAATTGATCGAGGCATCTGCTTTTCATATTGTTTTTTTTTTTCTTTTTTGGTTAAATAACATTAAAGTGACATTATGTAATGTTTGCTGAATAATGGCCACTGTGGATACAAGTTAAGATCATGAGATAATGGCTAAAATGCTAAGCTATTGTAAAGGTACCACAAGCGAAGAAGAGCCAACGAACTGAATCATTAATGCACATTATAAACCAATATTAGCTAGTTATTGTATTTCTATTTCTATTACTTTGTTTCATGTGCTGAAGTTAGCATGCTAACCAGCTAGCCTCAGTCGGTTGGACTGTCTCATCACTTTCCAATACCGGGTCACTGTAGCATCCAGTCTACCCTGAAGAAGAAACACTGCTCAGAGGGCGTAATGTAACCTCTTGGACACAGTGAGGGCTGTTAGCATTAATAGTTAATGCTAACATTGGCTATGTAGCAATAGCAAAACCTACAAATAGCTCCTTTAAAGTCTGGTGCAAGAAACGATCATCTTATAAAAGGTCTCTTCACAACAATCTACTGCAGATTTAACATTTTCTATCGAATGAATCTGAGTGACATTTTTATTGTTGCATCTCACCTACTGAACTTTTAACATGTCTATTTGTTTATCTGTGTTTTCCAGCACGGCTGTGGGAACTTCATCCGAGTGGTGCAGCCTTACAACAGAACCCATCTGTTCATGTGTGGTAGCGGAGCGTACAGTCCCGTCTGCGTTTACATCAACAGGGGCCGAAGACCAGAGGTGGGGCACATGACGACAGATTCACTCCACTAAAGAAACAAACTCTTGAGGGAATGAACCACAATTTGGGGACAATGGCTTTTAAAAATATTTTAGGAGACACTATAGGCTGCAGAATATTACTAAACCACTAACATGATCTCAAAACTGAAATAAGAACATCTAGCAGCTGTATTGCTAAATTTTAAGATAAAGTATAATTAAATTTAAAATAATTTGAAGGGGATTTGGTGATAGGAGACTTTGTAAAGCTAACAAAATTCCTCAAGAGATATGGAAATATTTTTTGAGCAGATTTTATCTATTTCAAAACATACAATAAATGTAATTTCTATACACGACTTTCTACTGGAAGAAGTGCAACATTACTGGATGACAACCAGCACATATGAAATTGCCACAGTGTCAGCACATCTTATCTTAAATTCATGTGCAGCATCAGATAGTGATTGTTTCTATTCTTTTACTGGTCTGCTAGGAATTTACAAGTGTCACCATGTGATAATAAAAAAAAGTGAAAGACTTCAGAATTTTATATGAGCAAAGTTTTCATGTAATCGGTTTGATGCCACATGAGAGGAGATGCTGAGGATAAGAGGGAGAAAATGGAGCTCTAATGTAAAGGGATGGGGGGCAGATTTCTAGGCGCTGCGCTCTCATCTCCGGCCACACAGCTCTGGAAGTGAGTGCGGGGAAGCCCTCCAGGAGAAAAGTGCTCACTGAGTGAACAACATGCAGCCGCGGACTGCCGACCGCTGCCAAACACTAATAGGCAGAGTGAGAGAGCTTCCAACCAGGCTCTTTCCGCACTGCAGAGCCTTTTGTCATTTTGGGTTTTTTTTTTTTTGTTTTTTTGTTTTTTTGTTTTTTTTTTGTTTGAAAGTCAGCACTTAAAGTTTGCAGTTTCTCAGCTCAAACATGTCAGTGTCTGAGGAGAAGGGATCTGTTAAGTATAACAAGCTGCTGCAGTGAGAAGTTGACGCCGAGCTCACAGCGCGGACCTTTGCCCTGAGAACGTGCCCCAGACTATTATGTTGTTTGGAAACCCGATAGGATGGCTGCACCAGACAGGTTATTTGCATGTGTCAGTGGTTTTGTGTCGTGAGGTTGTGTCTTACTTCTTGAAAGTGCTCCTCAGATACATAGTGAAACATACGCTGCAATAAAACATCCATCTTACTGAACTCAATTAGATTTTTATTTGGTCTTTAAATTTTTATAAGGTGTAATTATTCCACTTGTTTACAGAGAAGCTTCCCTTTCATTTTTTCACAGTTGTCATTTGTTGAAAGAAAGATAATTTTAAAGTTCCCTGATATGTTTTAAGACACATAAAAATGATCTGATCTTAATGATCTGTCTGATATGGTTTTCCCCCAAAAAAGTGCCATAAACTACTTAAAACTTTTACGCAAGTGGTGATCTTGCAAACACCCAAGTGAAGTAGCAATAAGCAAAACACATTTTTGAATGGAGGGGCCCTTTAAGATTCATTGCAACATCGAATTACTTGTTAAAAATGGACAGTTTCTGTATTGTAGAGCTTAATGACAGAGCCTACCAGATGGACTCAGTCCACCTCCAGAGCCTCTTGGCAAACAGCAACATTTTCCTGAGAAAATACTGCTGGGCTGACGTCACTCATGCTCAAGGAAGTATCAACACCACCGCGGGCCAGACCTGAATAGGGATGGGCCCAGAAACCTTATAATTTAGACAGGTTGGACCATCCAGTCCGCTACCAGGAGGGGAGTTGAAACTTGGCAGCCTTTCCACCTGAGATGGAGGAATTATTATCCAACGCATTTACAGGGAAATTCCTCCTCTCCTCCCACATGGAATGTTTTTTTTATTGTCCCACACGGGCCAGTGACGGCAGAGCAGGCCAGGACTGCTTTTTGTGCTTCCTTAAAAGCAATAGGGACAGAAACGTGAGCAGGGGTAGCTTACAGGGCATTTGGTACGCTCACACATGCAGTTTTATTTTAGCAGAGTTCACCAGACTGAATAACTTATCATATTAAACTGTCTTCAAAATCTCTGACTTCCTCTTCTTTTTTCTTTTTTTCTGTGACAGGAACAAGTGTTTCACATTGACTCGAGGACCGAATCTGGAAAAGGGAGGTGCTCCTTCAATCCTCAAGTGAATACAGTCTCTGTCATGCTCAGTAGGTGCCTCCTTCCTCCTTCCTACACGATCTCAGAGTCTTTATCACCTTTAAAAAACAAATGTGAACAGTTAACAGTAAACGTGTTGTTAGCCAAATGCCATATGGGAATTATGGTCATGTTACCAGCCAGTGAGCATTCACATCTTGAGATATCTCAGTACAGTTGTATGACTTCAGGGTTGGTTTGCGTGAGAGTTTTCTATTTGGGTTTTATTACACTGAACAACAGTCTAGTTTGGCTGTTGTAAGATGTGAGGTTTTCAGGGTCTTCCACATTACTTAGAGCCAGGTTGAGCTGGATGTATCAAAACTTTCCAGTCGTAACTCCAACTGGGATGTTGATGTAGCCACTATTTTCAAGTCGAGAGCTGTTCAAGGAAACTGTGATGTTCATGTAATAGATATTTGGCCTGATATGTATTCAATAAGTCACACACAGAGTGGTGGGGAAGAGGAGGATCATCTTCACCTGCGGAGGAAGCAAATCTGTTATCTTTCAAGGTTTGCCAGAGATAGTAGAGATAAGTCTGCTATTGTACCAGCGTGCAGGTGTTTTCCTTGCTACCTCTATAATGTTGACTGGGGTGAGAGGGTTAAAAGAAGAGTCAGAGAGGAGATTGTCCTGTGTCTTTGCTTTGCTGAAGGAGACAGAGGAAAATATCCACGACAGAATCCATAATTATGATACCTGTAGAAGTTATCATGACGGGATAAGCACACAGCTTATCAACCTTCAACCTCCCGGCTTGAGGCTTATAGATGTTGTTCCTGCAAATATGTCCCAAAACATTTTTCTCCTGTTTTGAAAAACGAATATATTCACAATACGTATTATTATAGGTTAAATTTTCTCACTCTAAAAAAGGAGGAAAATTCAAATTTCAGTTCAACCTTAACACACTCTCCTCCGCCCCTCCTCCTCCCCCTCCTCAATTCTCTTTCCTTTGATCTCTGATTGGTCGAGGCGTGCTGGGTGGCTGTTGACACGTCTAAAGACGACACACTGCACCCTCAGCTCCGCTTTCTGACACCTGAGCATTGCCATGTCAGCAGCAGCAGCAGCAGCAGCAGCTTTGCCAGCTAGTGAGCGACTTCAGAGATGCCCAGGAGGGAGGGGGAGGGTGGCTCAACCTAAAGGAGGGAGGGAAGGGGGGGGGTAGGTGCTCTGCCAAATAGAGTCGAGGTCAAAGTTAGCAGTATGGAAGCTGTGATGCAGCACTCCAAACTTCCGAGGATGATCGGAGGTCGGCTCGATAAAATCCGAGCCTCATCTCCCATCTGTATGTTTGATCTGTGTAGAGTGTCTGAGTGGATTATTAGCAGCAGGACACACACAGACTGTAAACCTGCTGTTTATTCTGGAAACATTTATGAACAAGTCAAGCATTATTTATGGGTCATGCAATAAAGTGTTGCTGTATTTTAATTGTCTATGAAGCTGCATCAGCATAAAGCATATATGGTCATTTTTTATGCTGTGTAAAGCTTGTGAGTAGATTGTGGATTTTTTCATTTTGTGTGTGTGTGTGTGTGTGTGTGTGTGTGTGTGTGTGTGTGTGTGTGTGTGTGTGTGTGTGTTCATAGACCAGGAGCTGTTCTCAGGCATGTACATTGACTTCATGGGGACAGATGCTGCCATCTTCAGGAGCCTGACCAAGAGAAATGCAGTGCGCACAGACCAGCACAATTCTAAATGGCTCAGTGGTGAGCACACACTCATTCTCTCAAGATTTTGAGTGCAGATGCTGTTTATTGATTCCTTTTTTTTAATGTGTTGATGTCAGTGCTAAAAATCTCAATTTGCTATTATCTTCCATTCAGAACCAATCTTCATTGATGCCCACCTGATACCAGATGGAACAGACCCCAATGACGCCAAACTGTATTTCTTCTTCCGCGAGAGGCTGACAGACAATAATGGAAATACTAAAAATATCCACACGATGGTGGCCAGAGTGTGTCCAGTAAGTTCCTTCGTCTGTGCCTAAATAAATCAGCACTGTGTGCTTTTGTGGGTTTTCCAGTTGCTATGTGCGGCCTTTTGCCTGCAGAGCGACATCGGAGGCCAGCGGAGCCTGGTGAACAAATGGACCACCTTCCTCAAAGCCAGGATGGTGTGCTCAGTTCTGGAGGAGGACGGCACCGAAACGCACTTTGATGAACTTGGTGAGTGAAACACCACATTTATATTTTATATATATATTTCCTCTGTTCGTTATTTGACTGTCCAAGCTCCATTTTAGTTTCATGGTGCATGAAACAAGTTTAAAACTGTACTTTTTAAAATTCCCAAAATTGTGCTATTTTTTGTTCCATGGTTTCCTGTGATTGCTTTCTCCATAAACAATCCTTGAAGCCTCTGCTGTTTGGTCTGGATTAGGACTTTATCCCTTCGTCAATTTTCATAATTGTTCTGTTGCTTCTGGTTTCCTTGTATTTGTTCATGAACATATTATTCCAGTTTTGAAAACTGCAAACATCAGCTCACAGAAGTGTAGGCCTGCTTTTCCATTCAGGGTCATCACACTCTATCTGTCAGCACGTGTAGTTATTAATTCCTGCATGCATCATTTCTTTGGCAATCTTACCTGCAGGGGTGAGGTGATAAAGGCATGCAGGGAATTTATTGAAAGTATTGCACACCTTTCTCTCCACGTATGTGCATTTGTCTACGTGTGTTTTCCCTTTCAGAAAATGTGTTTTTGCTGGAAACCGATCAGCCCAAGGGCCTGTTGGTGTTTGGAGTCTTCACATCCACAAGGTAAGAGCCGATGGCAACGAAGCCAACTGTAACATTCCTGCAGGCCTCGGTGGTTATGTTAATTACTCTCTGGATATCAGCGGGAGGGGATGTGCACGTCGAAGGGCCTGTTACATAGAGACGTCATGTGTCATGTTGCAGAACGGCTCATACAGATGATGGACTGTCACTTACAGCGTCCCAGTGGCTTCACCAGATGGTCTTCGTTTTGATGTTTTTTCCTTATGATCACAGGCAGCGATGCACCATTTTGCTGACCGTGTGCAAGAGATACCATCATAGCGCATATTGATACAGAACATGTGTTGCATCGTTGCATGTGCATGGATAGTAGTAGACAGAAGGATTTGTGAGAGCAGAGAGAGTTTAATTATAGCATTTTTACAGTTAAATGAAACCCAAGACTCGCTATTCAGCATTCAGAGGAAAAAAACAAGGAGTGTCATTTTTCGCTTTCAGCTTTATCTGGACACACGGACAGATAAGCAGTTACATAAACATATATGGAGGGGGGATAATGTTGTGAGTGTTTGAAAGACAGAAGCTAAAACTTTAAACTAAAAGCTGAAAATAAAAATATTGATCTTGAACCTTGAAGAAAAACAATAATATAACTATAAATTTGTTTATTAGACACGTTTCAATTCAGATGTGATTTTCTTTTTTTTCATTTCACATACATATGCTACAAGTCTCATTGATGCCTTATGTTTAGTATTTTACATAGACTGTGCTGAAAAAGACCTGTGCTGCCAGATGGGATGCTGTTGACCCAATCTGGGAAAATTAGTTCCAGTAAGAGAAAAAAAAAACACTTAAAGAAAATAGAAAGTTCAAAAGATGAAGAGAAGCTCTGACAAATATGACCTGATAAGAGCAATACTTGAAGAAAACATGGGCACACTTTGTTTTTCTGTTTCTGCCCTTTGTTAAAGTGTTTGATCCAGCACCTGTAAAAGGTTTGTGTGTATAATGATAACAGTATAAAAAGATAAGATTATTATAACTTAAGTGAATCCCAGAGCGTCTAAATTTGAGCGCTACTTACTTTCAAAATGATCATGAACGTCATCTAAACATGATCATCTTTGACATTTCAAATTAAGGAGAGAAAAATTTACCACATATCATATAAACCTCTGTGGTAACTGTTTTAAAGGTCACTTGAACCATCTGTTCTGATCTCTATGTCACGATTCGTTTCTGTGCTCTCCTGTTCGCTCCCCTGGATTTACTATCCCTACTCTTACTGTTGCTAATATTCTCTGCCTTGTTTATTTTGGGCTCTGTCTCCTGCCACCAGATGTCCTCAGACTTTAATCCCTGTCCCGGTCAGCTGACTGCCACATCCACCTGCTCACCTGTCTCATATTCTCAATCACCTGAGCTTCCCCACCCATTCACACACCTGTTCCCTGTTTCCTCATTTTCCCAGCCAGTACTTAAACCATCCATTTCCACCAGCTCCTTGTAAGATCATGTGCTTATGTTGCAGTGTGTTTCCCCATGTGCCTGCTACCGTTGTGTAGTATCCTGTTTTCTATGCTTGCCCATCTGCTACTCCATCCATCTGTCTTTAAGCCTGGTTTTCTTCAGTTCATCAATTTAAGTTCCCTCACTGAACCTGTGTTTGGTTCACCCCTGCCTGTGCTGCGACCTTCAGTTGTTACATTAATTGAAATCCTTCTGGTTGACCGGGGGTGACACTTCCACAGGCCTTCAAACCACTTGTTACCTCAGGATCATAGAAGGGCTACAGTAGTGTATCCTTGCTCACAGATCACAGCCAAACCAAACAGTGAGGTCCTTGACTTCTCTGAGCTCAGTGTTATTCCACTCTACACATTGCATTTCTTCCTCTGTCTTCACTTCACACAATCTGCTTGTGTTCCTCTTTTCAACAAAGCCTCTTTTATGTGTTAAGCAGTGTAGTTTTAAGTGAGTGGGCCAAACCACATCAGATAAAGGAGGGGGAAATAGGAACCGTCCCCACCGGAGTGTGGCAGCAGTTCCACCCAGACTGTATGACTCGCACATCCTCAGAAACACTGACCTTAATAAACAACCCCAGAATATTTTAGCTGGGTGCGTGTCAACGTCATGAGAGTAAGTTCCCACTGTTGTTTCATTGGAAATATGCATCTCATTTCCTCAGCTCCGTGTTTAAAGGCTCGGCGGTATGTGTGTACAACATGGCAGACATCCTCACAGTCTTCAACGGGCCCTTCGCTCACAGAGACGGGCCCAATTTTCAGTGGGTGGCGTTCCAGGGACGTATCCCTTACCCAAGGCCTGGAACTGTGAGTTCATATTTAGGTCATACATGCATTTATTGGTTATTTCAGTGCATGATTCTAAAATAAATTCACATAAAATTGTTGTATCATCAAAATTATGATGCTTGAAAAAGCTTTAACAACATTTTTCTATACAAAGGGTGACAACAACACAGCAAATGACATTCATACACAGTCAATGGCAGTAAGCCAAACATAGTATTACCCATTAAGTTCATATTGTTCAAGTATTCCTACTCCATATAATTTCTCAAAGTGAAAATATTTGAGGACATTTACCAGAGAATTTCACAGTATTTAAAGTGAAATACACATTTGTGTTCTTTAGGTATTGCCCTTAACTGGATATAGAAGCACAGATGTACATTTTCAAGTGCCTTATAATGTAACATATTTTCTCAAAACTGCAATGCACTGTGGACACTATTTGTGTGTGTGTGTGTGTATGTACTAAGACTCCAATATCCTTGACACAAATTCACAAATTGATGTATGAACTAAATTAATATATAAAATAAACAGAGGCCCCAATCTCGACCCTTGTGGAACTCTTAGATTAATTATCAGCAAACCGTACATATTGCTGTCTATTATCTACATACATGTACTATATTTTGTCAATGACAAGACTTAATTTCTCCAGTGTCCCGGTGGAGCTTTTACACCCGACATTCAAACAACGAAGGAGTTCCCAGACGACGTGGTGACCTTCGTACGAAACCATCCAGTCATGTTCAACCCAATCTACCCAGTGGGGAGGAGACCCCTGGTGGTTCGTACCAACGCTGACTACAAATACACATCAGTGGCTGTGGACCAGGTCATGGCGGCTGATGGCAATTACCAAGTGCTCTTCCTGGGCACAGGTATGAATGAATGACCACAGACAAAAGTTCTATGCGTTAAAATTACAACAAACCAGCATGAGAAGGTTTTTCTTTTTTTTTCATAAAGATTTGTTTTTTGAAACTATATATTTTCCTTTATCCTATTCTTGAAATACAATTCAGAAACAAGTGAAATGATCTCACTCCACCTATAGTCTGGCTTTTGTTGCTTCTTCTAAGAAAAGCAACAAATCAATACCAGATTCCATTCTCTAGGTGATAAATATGGATCATGTTATCAGCACACTAAAATAGTAATAGTCCTCTCTTTAGGCTGTGGCGCCACAACAATCACTGCAATCCTGTAAGAACAAGGCAGGTTAGATATCAGAAAACAAAATTTCAAACAGAAAAAGCAATCCTCCTCTCTCATGAGCCATCTGAGGTTTTTCATAAGTAAATGATTGTCGAGTGGAGGCCCATTGCCACAGCTGGTTATCGGATAAACAGATAACAGAGGGAATAGTGCACAGTGGGTGTGGCCGCTAAATTGAAAACAGAGACATGACAGCATGACACAGCATGCAGCGTAAAGTATGCCACAAATAAGTCATAGAAAAGTGACAAGACAAGGTCCTTTTTAAAAAAGAGGACTTTGAACTTTTTTATTAGATCAGGGGAAAGTGGGTTGAGATCATTTCACTTGCGTGTGCAGAGTTTGTTTTAATAAAAAGTTGACAATTTTGACAACCAGCCGTTCAAGATATTGTTGCATGTTATTGGAAAAATCATTATCTCACATAAAAGACAGAATGTTTTTAAAGATTGATTATGGGAGTAAATGTTGCTCCAGTGACATTTCAAGAGAAACCAGTGTAGAATATATATATGTATATATGTACATACCTGTTTGGTATGTCTGTGCTTATAACGCTGTGGTTAAACAAAATAATATGTGTGTGCGTGTGCATAATTATGCATGCATATGTGCTTGTGTGTGTCCACATGTGCACATGTTTGCATTCAGCGAGCCACTCTGGGACTCTCTTAAACAGCTGCTTGTGTTTATCAGGCAGCCTCGCCGTTCTGTTACTCCTGCCTGGATTCTTGAAGAGAAGCCAGTGCTGTCTAACCATAACTGGGCCCCCGAAATGGTGATGGTTTGTCTCAAGGATGCGGGAGACGCTCTTATCAGGCCTTTCCAGGAGCTGTTACTGTCCCCGATCTGCTGCTCCAACTCCCCGGACAAAACAGTCTTATTGATGATGGCGGTGTAGCATTTAGCCCTTTTCGTGGCCCTTGTCCTCCCCTGTGCGAGCTTAAGAGCTTCCACTCCCGCTCCTGCCACAGTTGATTTTGCTATTGAAACTGGTCATGGCTATCATGGCTAATTCAAAAGCAAACACTGGGGAAGGAAAACAGACTCTGAGTTTATTTTTTTTCGCCAGCAGTTGTACTCTAGTTCCACACATCTCTGGGCATTCTTTGTTAAGTGTGTGTAGCTGCATGTGTTTCACACAGTTGTTAAACACATGTGTGTGTGTCTGTATTCTGCCCCCAGACAAAGGTACAATACAGAAGGTGATTGTCCTGCCAAGCAATCATTCCCTACATGAAGATCTAATCCTGGAGGAGCTGGAAGTGTTTAAGGTCTGCTGTCTGTCTTTCTCCCCTCTCTTTCTTTTTTTTATTCTCTTTCACTTTCATCCCTTTTTGTTCCCAAAATCAAAGGCAGGGAGGAGGAGGGCGCGCTTGGCCACAACACAAAGCCAGGGGCAGACAGACAGGGGCAGGGTGGCATTCAGGAGATGGATGTTCTGCAGTGTAGTGCAGCGTAGAGTGATGGGAAACATGCTAACATATTGCAAGAGTCTGGTAGTTGACCTGAGTGAACTTTTGCATATGCTTATTTTTATTTTATTTTTTTTATCTTAGCTGAAATCACTAAAATTGTCATCAGCCTGTGATCAGATGTAAAGGCCATGACTCCTTTGATCTTCCACTGCACCTGGAGAAGGGCAGCTTGAATCAGAAAAGATTTATTCTCAAAAAGTTGAATACATCTGGCAAGAAACTGATCCAAGATGGCTACCTTCTCTGCTATGACGTTTTCTTATTTAAGGAAAGCCTGATAAGCTGCTCAATGCTTAAAAATTTTTTTTTTTTAATAAATAGTTCAACATTTCGGGAATCATTCCTGCCAAGCATTAGAAGACAACATCAATATTTCTTCTTTCTCATCCTTACAGTAAATAGCTAGCGGTTAACCTAGCTTAGATAACCCCCCGTAAATCCACAATGTTTTGTTTTTACACTTACACAAATGAAACAAATAAGACATAACATGTTAATTAGTGAGCTTAGAGGTGCTGGCAGGCAGATATTGCACCTGTTATAGTGAGGCTAGCTGTTAACCCCTGTTTCCATTCTTTGCGTTAAGCTAACCATCTGCTAGATGTAGCTTCATATTTACGGACAATGTTCTCACCTAATTCTTGTCAAGAAAGCTAATACATGTATTTCCTAATATTCCTTTTTAAAGGACCAGTGTGTAGAATTTAGGGGACTCTTTTGGCAGAAATGGAATACAGTATTCATAATAATGTTTTCGTTGTTGCATAATCACAGGAAACAAGAATCGTGTTTTCTTTAGCTTAGAATGAGCCCTTCATATCTACATAGGCAGCAGGTCCTCTTCCACAGAGCCTGCCATGTTGGACTGCCATGTTTCTACAGAAGCCCAGACCGTACATACCAAACACCGGTTCCAAAGTTTCTATGTTACACCACAGGTTCCCCTACACAGAGGGGTAGTTAGTTGGTTGCAATCTGCACCTCACCCCTAGATGCCACTCATTTCTACAGACTGGTCCTTTAAAAATTGTGTAGAAATAATTGTCAACAATGTCTAAAAGCTCTGAACCAGGTCCTTGTATGTGCTTTTTTTCAGAACCAAGCTCCTGTTACAAACTTGAGAATATCCTCAAAAAAAGTAAGTATTCTACTTTGGTTCCCTGACATATTAAGTGCAGTTTTATTGTTTTAATGTGTTATTCAATGTCCGTGGCTACTATGTAATGCCCGAAACAGAAACCTCCTGTGCATGATAAGCCTCCCAAAGGCAAGGAAATAATAAGCCATAATTGTTTCGGCGCTCTGCCTCATTTTCCTGTCAGCCAGCCACTTATTAAGACAAACAGGGCGGCTGACATTTGAACTGTTTACTTTGCAGCAACAGCTGTACGTCAGCTCGGAGTTCGGGGTCTCACAGGTCTCCCTGCACCGTTGTCACGCTTATGGCTCGGCTTGTGCTGACTGCTGCCTCGCCAGAGATCCCTACTGTGCCTGGGACGGACTCAGCTGCTCCCGCTTCTATCCCACCGGCAAAAGGTACACAAAGGTTTACAGTTTTAGGGTTCATAACTGTGGTTTTGTGCTAGTATTCAGTTTCTTTAAATTTAATGCAAGGAGGTATTTAGTGTCCAGTAAGGACTATTCTCTTGGCAGTGTAAAAAAAAGACTATGTAAGAGCTTTTAAGCCCCAACGCAATTTTTTCAGTGTTAATAACTGCTGACAAGTGTTGATTAAGGAGTCCATTCATGGAGGCAGCAATTCAAGACTTTAGTGTTAAACACACATGAGCATAGTGCAGATTTTCAGATGCTATTCAGTATTTCTGTTCACTAGGGAGGTTTTGAGCCTCTTATAGCCAATCAAAGTAGTATTCATCATTTATACAACAAATATGAAATCAATCAATATACCACGTGCAGTCATATTCAGCTGATGTACAGCAACATGTTAAACAAGAATAAAAAAAGAGCAGCTCCACAACTTGTGAGGCCAAACGTGACTGGAATCCTTCAGTGAGCACTTCAGTGTAAGCCATGTCACTAATGCAGCTTTTGTTGTTGCGCTCCTTCCATCTAGACATAACACAGACAAGGATGTAAGAGCGACACCTTGGCTCTAAACTGACACCTCTCTGGTCTCCTTCAGCACCAGCTGTCTGTCTCCTGCTATTTTAAGTCAGACGCAGGTCAAGTTTAGTTTGGTCACAGAACAAAAGCACGGCCGCTGTTTTCCTGTGGAAAAATGTGTCTGAAATGTGTCAGCTGTTTACATGATCCTTTCCTCAAGCTGTTGTACATGACTGTGCACCACAGAGCGGAATAACACAGTCAGATTTTCCTCATATTGTTTTGGCAGCGAGTGCTCCCTCCATAGTTTAATATGAGAGGATGAAGGTTGTTATGATTGTGTATTTTTCTGTATTTACTCATACTGTTCTTATGCTTATTGTTATTTCTTTCTGTTTTATTGTTTTTTTTTTAGGAGAAGCAGAAGGCAGGACATAATGCATGGAAATCCACTCACTCAATGCAGAGGATTCAATCTAAAGGGTAATTAAAGCTGCACTTATCATTTTTTTTATATAACAATGGGACAAATGACTGTATGCATTGTGAAAGGTGTTGAATTTAGTGACAACCCCAAAGAGAATTTTCCCCCAACTTTGCAATTTCCCCCATTTCTATACTGTTTTTTAGCCTTTTTTTTAGCTAGTTGTTTTTATATTATGGCTTGAAAATTCTGCTGTTGTCAACCACACTACAGCAAACGGCTGTTCCCAGTGAAAAAATGTTTTATTGATTCTACTTTTTGCTGTCTTTATCAAGCACTTTGTAACATAGTCTTTGAAAAGTGCACTGTAAACAAAGATAATTATTATTATTATTATTATTATTATATTATAAGAAAACCTCTGATTAACCCACTGTCTGCTACCTGCCCAGCAGACAGACAGCAGACAAAGCAAGTAGCTGGTTTACTAAAATGGAGCTAAAACAAGTCGGGGGAAAAGGCTAATATGTTAGAGTTTTGAGTTTCTTCTGTCCTTAACTGACAAAAAAGTAATTCAGCTTTAAATAGTTATGTAAGATGTGTCATTCCTCATCAGATTAACACTGAGACATACACTGACAAATGTTCTGTTTGTAAAAAAATATGTTCTCATTGGATGGCATTAATTATTTATAAATTAAAACAATCATAGTGGTTTACACCAAGGCTCTAGCTAGCTGCACCTGTTTACGTGTGCGTTCTGGGGTGTTGTGAGTCCAGGTAGCGCACAACATCCTTCAAAACTCACTCAGTCGACTGGCAGGGTGCAGTCTAATGAGTGGAGAGGATTTGCTCCCTAGAGTCTTCCATTTCCGTGAGCAGTTTACATCTCTAAATTAACACGAGCTCGGGGAACCAACCATATGGCCATTACCACTAATTAGTCACAACCCTGTCGCACATCCAGCTGAGTGATGAGCCATTTAGCTGCAACAAAAATGACACGGTAAATGAGACGAGACTGAGTTGGTACGATGCATTGAAAGGTTGTTTTGTTAGGCTGTAAAAACTGAGGAAAACTGGGTGGAGTTTGGTTGTGCTGCAGATGTCCGGACTAAGCTCTGTGTCAACATTTCCCTCTCACTGTTGGGACTTGAGACAGATTTGAGTCCATCTGTGGGCTTTGTGTCTGTCAGCAAGTGACGTCTGATGTGCCTCCCACGACTGTGTGTGTGTGTGTGTGTGGGGGTGTGTGTGTGTGTGTGGGGGTGTGTGTGTGTGTGTGGGGGTGTGTGTGTGTGTGTGGGGGTGTGTGTGTGTGTGTGGGGGTGTGTGTGTGTGTGTGGGGGTGTGTGTGTGTGTGTGGGGGTGTGTGTGTGTGTGTGGGGGTGTGTGTGTGTGTGTGGGGGTGTGTGTGTGTGTGTGGGGGTGTGTGTGTGTGTGTGGGGGTGTGTGTGTGTGTGTGTGTGTGTGTGTGACAGCCTACAGAAACGCAGTGGAGATGACGCAGTACGGTGTGAAAAACAACACCACCTTCCTGGAGTGTCTTCCCAAGTCTCCCCAGGCCTCTATTCGCTGGCTCATTCAGAGGGACAATGACAGGAGGAAAGAGGTCAGTTTCACATTTAGAGAGGTCAAAGGTCGACATCACAGCCAGCGTTTGCCTCATATGTAACAAGCTAAAGTGGAGCCAAAAATCCCTCGAGGAAGAACTGATTAAATGTCTTTTTTTTTTTTCCTGATCTACAGGGAGCGTCTCACATCGTTAAATATTTCATCAAACATTAAACATGTCAAAGCAATCAAATGAGCTCACACGCTTGATCAGCACTTGTATCGCCTGAGGAGTGACACTGTGAACATTTATTGGCAGCGGAGCATCATAATGAGCAGTGATACAGATCAAACATGATATGTACCTTGACTAATGACTGGATTCTCAGTGGGGAAACATTTTCCAAATATTTGACACCCCTTAAATGGTGAGAGCACTTTGAAAGGCTGTGAAGAATTAAACAAAGTGGGGCAAGAGAGCACGTCTGCATGATAAAGACATATCTTTTATGGATTTAGCTTTCACCTCTGTGCAGCAGGCTGAGAGTAATGGCCGTTTTATAGCCATTTCTTTATGAGAATAGAAGTTGGCTTGTAAAATAAATCACTTTAGTTGTACACTGTGTAATCATTTGTCTTTTCCAAACTACAGCCAGGCTGATTTTAATGTAGAAAAGGAGTAAACAGCATCAGATCAGTGTGATAGTTATTTTAGAAAAACAGGATTAATGTATGACATGAGAATCTGTCTTTTCTCTGAAGGAATTATGATGCTAAAGGCTTTTTATTCATGCAGTCACCCATATAAATATACCCAATCTGTAAAACACCACACATTAATATAACTCAAATCCAGGATACAGGCCACAATAATTCATATTCCTTACATAATCTGATTTTCAGACTTTCATGTCTACAACAAGTTTCATTTCTTTCCACTGACAGTTCAACTCTTTTAAACTGAATTGTCAGCTTCTTTCAGTAATTTTACTTTGACCGCTACTTAAACTTTAACTATTTCAAATGTTTCAACTGCCAATTCTTAGCAGTGAACACATGTAAAAATTTCAGAAAAGGTCAGAAAGTTTTGCCATTTATAGTAAAGATTATGGAATTGTGACCTACAAGACAAATCTCAGTAAACACTGTCTAAAAACTCACAGCCATTCAATTGTTTTTAATCATCTATACATCAGATTATTTCAGGGTTTCGGGAGCCATGACATGAAAAATTCAAACTGTTCAGTTATTGTAGTATGTATAGAACAGAAGATGGAGAAATATGTAATTTCTTTTTTTATTATGAAACCAAAGGGGTTCCTCCATCATGTGTGATGTAACATGATTCAGGGCCGTATTTTTGGTTAAAACACATGTACAGAATGGTGTCACATTAAAGGAAAAACCAACATATAATGTGTTAGTAAGGTGCATTAATAAGCTGTTGGGCCTCCACAGACCTCCAGAACAGCTTCAGTGCTCCTTGACATAGATCTTACAAGTCTCAAACTATGTTTAAGGGATAGAAAAACATTCTTCCAAAGGATACTCCTTCATTTAGTGATTTAATGATGGTGGCAGAGAATGCTGTTTGGTTTCTGCATTCATGATATTTCCTCTCAGTTTTTTCCTTTTATTTGTCTCACGTGTGTTTCTACCTAATTTTGACTTTGAAAGTGTAATTGGTTTTCTGGTCCAATTCTCTACTACAAACCATGTGGATGAGGTTATGACACAACTTAACTGTGCCAACTGCAGGTGAAGCTGAGCGACCGTGTCCTCTCCACGGAGCACGGCCTCCTGATCCGCTCCGTCCAGCTGTCCGACCAGGGCCTTTACTACTGCCTGACCACCGAAAACAGCTTCAAACGCACCGTCGCCAAGATCCGCCTGCGCGTGCTGAGCGAGGCCATGGTGAGCATGCTAACAGACAAACAGCAGTCGCCGTGGGCGTGGGCCAGCTCTCTGCACCCTAAGGTCCTTTTGGCGGCCTTCAGTCCCGCGGAAAGCCTGGCAGTACAACAATACTGCAAAGAGAGGAAGGAGCTCCAGAACCTCCAGCAGAGGCAGCAGAAGCAACAGCCACCGCCTGGGCCTCTCAGGGGGGATCTGGCCAAACTGAAGCCCCTGCTGGATCGGAGGAAGAGCCGCAACCGGCGGAATCACCTCCCAGAGGTGTGACTCAGGCAGCTGGCAGCTACAGACACTGACACGCACACCTTCCTCTAATCCTGAATCCTATCAAGCAGTTAAAAATCCTCTCATCTCAAACTGCAGAGCTCCACTGTGGATGTACAGTAAGACGTGGAGGTGGGTGTGGGGAGTTCTCATTCTCCAATATCTCTCTTCTTTTTTTTTTTTGTTTTTCTTCTTGCATGAGGTACTGTGACCAGGTGGCTGTGACATACACTAATACACACGCACAGACAGCCACAAGCCATTCGTTTGTTGTCGCAGTCACAATACAAACGAAGTGGCCCCGTTATGAGTGCCACTAATAAACTGTGGCCTCTAACAGGCTGATATTGCTTATGATAATACACTCTGAGACGCAACTATGTGTATCATATTTTAAATATCAGAGAGGAAATTGGACCGGCCGGATATTGGCTCATGGTGGATTTGTATTTTGTGGGGGGAAAAAAGTGGGGAGGTCCTTTTAACATCATGATAATAAACAGAGGAGATTGAAAAGGGACAAAAGGGAGACGGATGCATGTTTGACAGTGAGTGCTCTCTCCCTTTATGTTAAGTGTTATAGTAGCATTTTACTAGACTCTACTCACATTTGAATTTTTACTTTTTAACTAACAAAATTCTCTCTATTCAGTGAAAACTACAGCAGTCAATGGGCACATGTCGGTTAATAAAACACCACTTTTTTTTCTCCTATATGTTGACAGCCTCGCATACTGTCTATAATAGCACTGTTCATACCAAGCACAGAATAAAAAGTGTTACATTACAGTGCTGTAAGGTTAAAGAGTTATTCGTTCAAAGACCAACTTTACATCCGGAGCTGATGTATCCAAACAGAAGTAGTAGTAAGATACTGAGTAGAATATTAAATACAGTGTGAGTTGTTGCACACACCTTGAAATGATCTGTCCTATATTTATTACTATTACTCAGACGTACATGTACGAGAATGTGCCTCACTGTAATTCAGCTGCATATTGTATCTGTATCATAAATGTCTTTATCCAGCACAGAAGCATGTGTATAGAAATTCATCAGCAATGTTAAACGTCTTTCAAAGGAATAGCTTGACATTTTGGGAAATGAGCCTATTTACTTTCTTGCAGAGAGTTAGATGAGAAGATTGATATGACTCTCAGTCGCTAAATATAAAGCAGGTCCTAGCAGACAGTTAGAGTAGCTAAGCACAAAGACTGGAAATGGGGAAACAGTTAGCCTGGCCCTGTCTAAAGATTTTTTATCTATTTTTTACCTACCAGCACCTGTAAAGCTCACACAAAAGTCAAGTGTAAAAATTACCCTTTGAGGTTTTGCTATCTATTGGCTGAGCACAGTAATCCCCCACATTAAGTGTTGACGTCAATGCTGAGACTCCCCCATCCAAGATATAGCCCACGACATAACCCCCATAACCATATATTTTTTTGTGCTGGATTTTGTGACCTTTGGACAGAGTCAGGCTAGCTGTTTACCCCCATTTTCAATCTTTATGCTAAGATAAGCTAACGAGCTGCTAGCTATAATTTCATTCTTTGGCACAGATATGAGAGTCGTTTCATCTAACTCGTGGCAAGGAAGCAAATAAGCATGTTTCTCAACATATCAAACTACTACTTTAATTCTTGCCTGGATTAGATTTGAGAAAACAAACTAGCAGATATGCACATTTTAGTTTTTGCCTTTAGGAACAGTAAACAATGGATGTTAATGTAATACCTGGAAATATAGTCAACAATGACAATTTCCTTCTTTCGATCTACATTTTCTACAGCCTGCACAGCAAAGTGGACATACTTTTAATTCAGAAGTAGTAACTGTCAGTGATAGTCTGTGAGATAGACCATTTGACATATGTGAATAGACCTTTTCAGAAGCGTAGTAAATGTAGATAGATTATTTGTTGCTTGTGTACAGAGTATTTTTGTTTGTTTGTTTCGTCTTTTTAATTTAATGTGCCAAGTTTTGTTAAAGTGTATCATTGTGTACATAAATTCTAAATATTTCACCAACTAACTCTGACTGTATCTGCAAATTGCAGAGATATACAGTATTATTTTCATTTTGAGAAAAGACTTTCTAGTTGTACCTGCCCTCATACAGATCTCTGCCCCACGTTTAATAAAACTGTGTGACCAGCATCATGTCAACTTCAACTCAGTGTAATTTCAGTGTTATGAAACATATGTATTTCTATTTATTAATGTCATGATAGCCTGAATAAATCTGTTCAGATGAATCTCAATTTAAAAAACCATATACTTTATTGTCAGACAATTTTTATTATTGTAATTAATCAAAATGTGAACTTTTTCTTTCTGTTATTGGCCACTTCATCATCCCTCTGTCTGCATTATAGATACCATGGTGCGCGTTATCATGGTATGTATATGATAATGTTCCTATTATATTACTTTAAAGGAATAGTTTGACATTTTTGGAAATGTGCTTATTTGCTGTCTTGCAGCGAATTAGACAAAAAAATTGATACCACACTCAGGTCCATACGGTAAATATGAAGCTACAGCTAGCAGCTGTTTAGCTTAGCATAGCACAAAGAGTAGAAACGAGGGGAAACAGCCTGGTTCTGTCCTGAAGCAACAAAATTTGTCTCCTTAACATATAATACCTCAGTTAAAACATCAGGTTGTGGTTTTACTGAGGATTGTGTGGGGGTATTGTTACCTTAAGACAGCGCCTAGCTAGGTGTTTCCCCTCTGTTCACAGTCTTTTTGCTATGCTAAACTAACAGGCAGATGAGCGGTAGCTTTATATTTATCATAAAAACACAAGAGTGCAATCTTATCTAACTAACAAACCATAGTGTATTTTAGAAATTGTCAAACTATTCTTATTACATGCAGGAAAAATGTGCGAGTTTAATATGTGTTAGCTTAGCAGGGTTGAGATTTTCAAACAGAAACTCACTTCCTAAATTTCAAAGATCAGTGCACAGTACTTCAAATACCCCAATGTTGCAAATTGCACATCCACAGAAAGAGGAGGAAGACTTGTGTCTGTTTTCATTTCAATGAAACACTCCCTCATATGTGTGAAATATAAGATTGAGACCATACAGTAGAATCAAAGACACCCAGGAGTCTGCTGAGGGTCATTTAAAACCCATAAAACCAAAGAGAGATCTCCCGCTGGGCAGAAATACTGCTTTCTCACCAAACAAACCCAAGTACCATTCATAACCACAGTGTAATCATCCCCCAGCCCATTTTTATTACTCTCTTTGATTTATGGGCGACTCAAGGTAAAGAGGAAACTTAATAATTTTGCTTCAGTGTGCACAATGCAGAGGTTTGTTTCAGCAGCAGCCGGACAGTCTCAGCTGTATTTTTGGGCCGTGGGGGATGTAGACCAGTTTTGATAGCCTGGTGCAGGGTAAGGATACTAGGGATTGGACACCCAATGAAAATTCACTTTTTCAGCTTTTATTCATTTCGAAGACACGGTTCAGCAAAGGATATGAACATTTGTGCAAGATTAAATTCATGTACATTTCTTTTTTAGGATGTCAAACAAACTCATTTCTCCTCTGTGTGGATGAGTAACCTGACAGTTAAAGGAGTCTCCACCTGCTCTGCCTCTAGAAATACCTGATTGAGTTAATGTTACAGTGTTAGCACTTAAAATAATACTTGGCAAAATAATTCAGCTCTCGAGCTTTACAAAATCACAGTTTTCCCCCCCCTTGTATCAAAGGAAGTATGACATTATAAATAACACTAAAATTACAAAAAAGTGCAAGTCTATATCAAAAAGGTTTGATGTCCCAAAGCAGCTTAAATGCACTGTGCCCACAACTTACACACAACAGACACTGATTCATTCACACAATCTTGATGTCATTATCTCTCCGCCTCACCACACAGTAAGAGATAAGGCATAGGATGAAAATGGCCACACCTGTGCCCAGCAGCACCTGCTGTATCATCTCCAACATCTGGACACGGGAGATTAGCTCCTCCTTGAACATGTCTGCTGTTTCGTCATCCAACGCAGCAGTCTGATTACACAAGAGGAGATAGAAAAAGAGAGGGGGACTGATTAACATGCAAATCCGAGCTAACAGACAATATACTTCATGACTGCAGGGCTCTATTTTTATCTTACCTCATTCATCCAAACAAGAGGGAATATGGTATAATCCTTGACTTTCTTAAGAACCCTGTAGGGAAAGAGTTCATTACTTGGCATCCAGTGCATGATTCTGTTTAAAACTTTCTGAAAGGAATAGTTTGACATTTTAGGAAAAACACTTATTTGCTTTCTTGCTGGGGGTTAGATGAGACGATAGACGCTGTGCTAAATACGGAGCTACAGCCAGGGGAAAGTAAGCTTAGCGGTTAGCTTATTAGCTTAGTCCATACAAAAAATTGTTCAAAACAAAGCCAAAGCCACAAATTGTCATTTTGTTTTTGTATCACGTTCATGAGTTTTAGAGGGTCTGGTGGTGAGATTTTGTTACTTTCAGACAGACCCAGGCTAACTGTCTCCCCTGCTGTCAGTCTTTATACTAAGCTAAGCTAACCGTCTCCTCTAACTCTTGTCAAGAAAGCAAAGCTATGTTTAATTCCCCAAATATATAAAGGTAATGCAGAACTTACGTGATGACATCTGATGGTCCATACATCATATTCACTTGAATTCTCTTAGCAAACCTCAGGGTGAACCCAGTTGTCTGGTGGGAAAATACAACAAGAAATTAGCATCAGAGCTGCTTCCGCTTAAAGTCCGAAATAACACAAATGAAAGTCCGGAGTCTCTTACAGGTTCCACGTCTAGGAAGGTGTGATGATGCTCTTCACTGGGGTTGAGACCCAGTACAGACTCTCGCAGAGATGGACTGCCATGAAGGAAGTGGGGCAGAGAGATGTAGATAGGTTTTCCTGTTCACATGGCAAGGAAACAATGATGAGTCAAAATGCCATGTTGCAGAGCACAATGATAAAGTAGCAGAGGAACATGCTGGGATGCCTGAACTCCCAGCTGATTCTGGATAATTGGGTAAGATCCTGATGCTGCAAACCAAATGCAAACTGACCCTCTTTACAGGAGCTGATGTCCAGTACTCCGGCCATGGTGCAGTTCTTGGTGGTGGTTGGGTTTCTGCAGAAACATCTGTTGTCTGGGTTGACTATAGGGGAGGCCAGGGTAGATGGCTGGAGGGCGTAGCGGTAGACCTCAATCCCTTTCAGATCCATGCTTTCCTCAAAGCTGGCCGAGACAGACCTGAAGACAAAACAGCACAGGTTATTTCAAGAAACTTTGAGGACCTGACCTCTTGTACCCAGTAATCCGTAGCTTTATGGAGCTTCTTAATTCAGACTGACTCAAGTAGATGACTGGGGTTTTGGTATTGGAAAGTTCTGACCTCTAGTGGTTACTGAGAGGAAAGAAGTCGGTTGCAGGGCTCGTTGTTGACACTTTCTGCCCCATTTAACATTAGCAAGTCAGAGTCAGACTAGATCAGGTGAAATTGCTCCAATAAACCCAAACCCTTTATCACCTGCAGATGTCTGATGAGAAGAAATATAGAGGCTTTTTCTTGTCCACAAAGGGAGCGAAGGAGGAGGCATCTGAGAAAAAGAATAGAGGAAATAAGATTAGAAAGGTGACTTGTCTCCTGTATTTAGAGCTGTAGAAGTGTGTTGTAAGTGCCGATCAGAAAAACAGTCATTCAGCTTTTTACAAAACAAAAATTGCCACATGAGCTTCACCTGTCCCGTTGATCATGTCACAGTACTTGTCATTCCAGAAACGTAAACTCCTGTTGGGCAAAATTGGATTAGTCAAACAAACAGCCAAATTACATATTAAAGTTTAAAAAATAAGTAAACAAACAGGATTCTCACTTGTCAAAATCTGTACAAACTGATTAACCTGATTTCATTGAACAGCCTAAAATATCACAATTAAAAAGAAAAAAAAACTAGATCATCACTGTGACTCACCTCTCTCCCTGCCACCTGTCAATAAGTCCCACTTTTGAGATGTCCTCCTTTCCAGTGAAGACAGTGTAGTAGCCATCATAGGTGCCATTGTACTGAGGAAAATATATTTAAATTGATTAGATTATGTCATTTCTGAGCTGTTACTCTGTAGTTCTGTTATTGTATTTGAGAGTAAGTCTAAATTATCTGTTTACTTACAGGTACAAATAAGCCCACAGTTCCTTTCAACATGGGGTCTGTGTAACCCCACAACATTTCCTTCACTGTACGGTGCTGAAACAAGGAGGATTTGCTTGCCTTTATCAGAGTCTCAAGCACAAGATGAAGTTGTTTTGGAACCAGTGAGTAAGCCGCCTGAAAAGAAACATTCAAAACATTTGGAAAAGCTCAGAAAATTATAATTTATTCATAACTGATGGTGTCAGTTGGAAAAGTGCAACCAGTATGGGTCCAGAATGATACACATGCAAAACACAAAAACTGCTGTGCACACAACTGCTGCTGTTGCTTCAGAAGATAAGACAGAAAATAATCCTCTTTTATGACTTGGATACTACATAATTACAAGTAGAGGCTCTGGTTGGAATTGCTTACACTGATCATTTGAGCTTTATCAACATTTGAAGAGAAAAGCACATACACTTTGCCTATAAACATCCATTGTAAATTTGTGACCTTCAAGTTGTTCATAATGTCCACTCGCCCTCAAGTCTTCGTACTCCGCTGGTTTTTTTCAAGTACTGAAACCTATTCTTTTTACTTGATCTTTTAACTTTCTTTGTTATTGGAAGGTTCCTGATTTATATTATTTTTGCTAACTTCGCAATTTTATTTACACAAAGTTCTTGCTTGAGTTTAAACAGGAATTAAAGGAAAGTTACAATATTTTTTAATCTAGGTCTTTATGTCAGGCTAAAATTATGCTAATGCACCTCCCTTGTACAGATTCGGAAAACGCAGACTCAGGCCAAATAACATAAATAGGAGTAAGCAGTGCTAACCTCCTAAAGCTTTCCAAACAAACTTCAGTTTTACATCAATCATTTTAAACCCTTGTCTCTGAGTCCGACCAAAGGTAATCACAGAAATTAGCCAGTTGCCTTTTTAGCTTGCGCATGCTACCTTCAGGGAAACTTGCCAGCTAACTAAGCTAGGTATACACAAAAAAAGCTGTTTTTAAATGTCAAGAGTTAACAAAGGAGTTAGCCTGCTGCATTAGCAAATGTAGCTAGCTGCACACTACATCCAGGGCAGCTTTCTGGCCAACCAAGTCTGCAGCTTATTCATAAACATTGTCATTGTACAGGGAGTGAATCCTTATACAACTCACCCATTTCAATTTTATTAAGGCGTAAAGTTATGCATAATTGATGGCGTGCTGCTTAGAATGACAGGTGGGTGATCGTATGCTTGCACCAAAGTATCAGCTCCACACACGCCCCACCTCTTTGCCCATTCTCCGATTAGCCAGGAGTTAGGTCGAGTCAGGCCCTGCCAAGATAGCAACAGCATGGCAGCCCACTCTGAGCTTCAAAGTCCTTCTTCAAAAACCTATGGGTGATGTCACAGAGTCTACATCCATCTTTATTTACAGTCTGTAGGCAAAACATAGGCTGCTGTATTTCTGCTTTACAAAATGTGTCCATAGTACTCTTTTATCTCTAATTCTTAGTATTCTTGCAAAAGCCTGGATTTTTTTAGCTCTTTATGATTGAAAGGATGAACCTTGTGAGAGAAAAACCACTCTTTATACATATCACAACAAAAAAACACCTTGTCTAAGATGGTCAAAAGCCAAAAAGTTTGGGAACCATCACTAAAATGAGTGCTTGCAGGCCAAAGCAACAACGCAGCACAGCTTGATTAGTCTTAGCTTGTCTTGGCCTTGGAACAGTAGGTACAGTAACTGTTAACAGTAGAGCTGAGTCAAGTCAGGAATCACCGCGCAGTGGGGTGACACTCACTTACAGCCACAGCCACGTTGAGGGAGGTGACTTTGTCTTCCTCTGGTCCCACTGACATGGATGGCTCGAAGATGGCACCCAGAGGCAGCAGGAAGGAGACAGTTTGATTTAGGTTGAACGTCACGTTCTCTTTGGGAAGATATCTTGTCCTGGAAGGGGAGGAGAGACTCTTAGAGTAGGGGGAGAGTACATTCTTCTTGTACATTATAGGTCATCAGATAAGCGTGATGGAGTGCTTATTGAGGAAGAGAGAGGCATACTGTGTTAAAGCAAAGATAAAACAGGTAATCAACTTGACCTTACCTGTATGTGTAAGGTCCTTTTTCCACCACCACTGGGGTTGCGCCATTCTGCAAAACCTCCTGAGGATTTTGCACGTGAAAGAACCAGAACTGCCGGTACACATTTGCCCCTGTAGCCACCCAGTTGTCATACGCTGTCGTTCCAGGCGCAATGACGGCTTCCTAAACCCCGCAGACACACAGACAGTCTATTTTTAACATGCCTCAAGACTGCCAGCAGGCCAGCTGCCCTGCTGATACATGAACTAGGTGGATGCTCTCTTATAAAAAAAAAAAAGAAAAGGTCTTAATCGCTAAAATTTCTCGGCACAGTTTCTAAAAAAGAACCACAGCTGATCTTTTGATGGATGAAAACAAGACTTGGCTTTCAGCACAGAATCATGTTTACCAGTTGAAACAGCTTTCAAAAACGCACGCCGCTTGCCTCTCATTTCTCCTGATTCACCTTGATCTCTGCGCACACATTCACTCACTCTGTCACTCCCTATCCCCCGACCCAGGGTGAAACTGAGCACCATACCTTCTTCACTGTCCCCTCAATGACGCTGTTCCCCAGTGGAATGAGGACACCTCCCAGGATGGCTACCACCGCCCCAAACACAGCTCCAGCTATCAGCCCGCACCTTCTGTTGCAGCAGCCCATGGTGATGTACGTTCGCCTCCGTCCGACTGTGCGTCTGCCTGGCAGCCTGGCAGCCTGTTCTCCTTCTGTCTCTGTGTTTGTGGCGTGTGCGAGTATGTGCAGCTTCTCTGTGTTTGTGCCCCGGCAGCAGCAAAAGCACAGGCAGGCTGTACCATCAGAGGAGCTGACAGAGCAGCAGAGGCCAGGTAAAGGTACAGATACTTCTGTCAGCCGCCCAGGGACCTCTTATAAATGAGATTATATAATGAAAAGGAGAGTTTAAGGTTCAGCTGATGGACGTCCCTCCTCAGGTATCAGTAAGCACTATCTGACTAGGTGATAACAGCTACAATAGGCTGAGGAGAAAGGTTGAAAGAAGAGTTGGCGCACAGCGAGGAAGTGCATAAAATAAAGTTAAATTCAGATCACAGGTCATGCCATCGATATTTTTTCCATAAATTTTGTCTCATTTTATAATAACTAACAGCAGTAAGATGAAGTCGACTGGACAGTCTTGAATCCTCATTCCAGAGGATTTATCAGACTGTGAGACATCAGCTCTAGCTTTCTGGGTGACGGGTGACCTGGATGATGAGGACTTTCGCAGACACTTTTCCTGTCTTGTTCCTTATCTGTCCTCCTATCTATTCATCTCTTGTCCTCTCTATAATTTAATCCTTTGCCTTGGTGCACAGAACATAAGTGTAGAAAGAGAAAAGGGGGAGCACATAAATGATTAAGTATATTGTTATTGCGCAGAGCCAGTTGAAAAAGGCTTATCTGTATTTGTGGTTGTGTAGTTTCATGGGGGATATTAAAACAAATTGCTCTTTATCGCTCCTATAGATGTCTCCCCATGCTTATCTTGATTTATTATGATGTAAATGGTTTCCTTGCACATTGGTGTTTGGAACTTATTCAGCAACAATATAATATTATGTCACAGCTCATTTGATTTCTTATATACTAGTATGTCACACAACTGTAAAGTCACTTCAATTTAGTTTTAGAAAGTATACAAACAAAATTAGACAGATACTGAAGGTGCGTCATCCTTGCTTTCACACAGGCTTATGCACTGCAAAAAGGTAAACAGGGTACTCCAGCTCTTCTACAACATTATGGGACTCGTGAGAGACAGATTTAAAAAAGAATCGTCAAAAACTTTGCGGCACATATCCTGATGTTTACTGCACCAAAACGCTAGATCCTACATTTCCCATAACGCAACTGAATACTGCCTATCCTTAGATCCTCCCTCCATGGTGAATACATATCTTTCAAAATCAACACCCTCAGTTTGTGACGCAGGTTTTTTCTGTTTTAACAAGTCTCAACCTGGCTTCAGAAAGCTCCTTCACTATACGACCTCTACCAAATAAACATTAGATGACTACTTCTACAGGTTGTGTTGTACTTCCTGTGACAGTTTACCTGTGACAGGTGACCCTTATGTATAAGATTTTTCAGCCTATACTGTATACTGCCCTGAAGCACTGTGAAATTAAATATTATTACCACTGGGGGGCAGCACCACCATTCCCTCACCCTTCAATGCATGTCCATAACAGAGAGCTTGCTTATACAGTGTAGCTCATCCCACTGTGTCTTTCTGCCAGAGACATGTCTCTGTCTGTTTAAACAAACATTCTTGTCAAACACTATGAATCTCACCTGACTGACCTTGTTGTTTATCTTGTGAGTATGACTTCAACGCTTGGAATGGATTTCAATTTGTGTAGGCATACACCAGGCCTGTAGACTTTCTGTTTCTCTGCCAGCTGCTTTTATTGGAAAACATATTATTGATTATTATTTTAAAAATTGTTTGTGATTCTCTTTTACATCCATTTGAAGTAATGCACTTTGGACCAGGGTCTTGTGATGTAAATGCTCACTTGGTTGGCCTCAATTTCTGTAGAAGATGGGACAGGACGGGAGGTGAGTCTGACAATATACTTCAACAACTCAGCAAGCAACATTTAGAAAAACGCCAGGGGCATCCTACTGGGTGTCTCTGGCTTCCCTGTGCAGTGACAACAGGTCACTTGTCAACAGAACAGACAAACACGACAATTGTCATCAGGTAAAAGATTCCAGATTCTTTATTATTTTGAGTCTTGGACTAACTTAATGTTTCATTGTCATTAGTCAGGTTTCATCAAGTTACATTTAGCTAAACTCCTCTACCTGCACCTGGGTGAACTGTGTTTCCACAAACCAGTTTTTCTAAATCATCTGAAATAATCACCATCCACACAAAATACAGTGTTGTTTTTCATGGTTTATTTATTTATGTAGTTTCATAAATTAACATATACTTAAAAAGCACATACATTGACTAACTGAATAATGTAAACATACATTATGTACGTACATGCTATCACAGAAAGAGTTGTGTATGGTCTTTTTAAAGTAAGATCAAAACACTGAAAAAATGTTTTACTCATAAATATGATCAGACGTTTACATACTCATAAATCTTTTATAATGAGGAACATTGTCCTTTTCAAAGAAAATGAATGCATTCAATGTCTGTGGTATTTTCTGTGGTAGATAAAATGACATAACCTTTTTGCCTAAGGGATACACCGCCTGTCTCTTGTTATCTCAAGCCTTGAGAGGGCCTGGATGACAAAGAGGGAAACCTCCAGCCAGCACAGGACAGAAATGGAAAGGTCAACACCACAAATTTGCATGTACTCCCATAAAAGCTCATTTGAAATGAAAATTTCATGGAAAGGCATAATGTTTAGTACACCAAGGGGATTTGTGTGGACATTTTTTTGAAGAGAACACCACCAGCCTTTAAACTGACTGTTGACTTTGAAGACACACATTTGACTTTCCAACAGGCTTAATTATTTAAACCACAAACAATGGTCATGTACAGTTGAATGGGCAGGTGACAAGACTAACTACCATGGTTAGAGGTTTCATTTCCATGGGCATGATACATGCTAGAAATGTAGTTATAGTATAGCCCACACAGGTAATGTAGTTTTTTATAATCAGAGAAGTATTAATATATATGTATAATACTGTGAATATATATAATGTATTTTTACATATATGTTTATTTAAACTCTTGTTATTGATGTTCACAAGGCAAATTAATGTTATGTTTATTGTATCTCAAAATAAAATGTATATGATACAGCCTATAATGTGAAGATTATATGAGCTGTTATTTGGGTAACAGTGCGTAAAGTTTTGTGTGTGCAGGTTTGAAAAGGCGTTTCTCTGTCAAGAAGTTTCCGGTTTGGGCGTCTACCTTCAAAATAAAGGCGTCAGAATTATAAGTTGAACGTTTTCGTACTTAATAGTCACACACACACCAAATGAAAGCTCAGCTTCATGTTTGATTTGAGAAAACTGATTAAACTACACAAATATGTAGCCTGTTTACCTGTAAGAGCTGCATATAGGCTAATAGACAGAAAGCACTGTCACAAATCATCCTCGGTTGTAAGCAAAGGCCTAAAATGTATGCACATATCATGTTTGCCTGCACTTCAACAGTAGGTAAACATTTCAGATTGATTATAAAAGTCCAAGTCAACTATACTTCACAGGTGGGAATTTTTCAGACAAATCCCCGCCCAGACAACTGTCACCCTTTGATTTTTAATGGGAGTGAAAATAAATCCTAGATGAGGATTTTGACACATATATGGGGGGAATAATATATGCACTGTACATTTTAGTCTCAGTTGATTCTGTAGGTAATTTTATGGTGGTTACCCAACACTGTCAAACACCTTTATTTAACAGTGGAGAGTGAGTGAAAAGGTGACAGAAAAGAGCCCTGATCTGGACATCGTGGAGTCATTCTAGGATGGAGAAACAAAAGCCCCTCAAACACCCTATATTCAGATTTTAAAAATGTGCTTGGAACAACATACCTGCCAAATACCTAGAAAAACTTTGTTCAGGTGTACCTCGGAGAATAGGTGCTGTTTAAAGGCATAGGGTGGTCACACCAAATATTGAACTTTTGTACTTTTGCTACACTGTGCTGCACAGTGTATTCCAAACATTATGAAAGACTTGTAAAATAGTATAACATAGTACAGTTATTACAGCAGATAATATTGCAAACAATGTTTAAGTTTGTTGGTGTTTTTAGTATTAGGTTCGTGGAAGTGACACCTTTATTGTGAAGAATCAGGCCGGAAGTCTTATTGTTGTTGGTGCTTGCGGAACACCGCGCGGCTCTCCAGTCGTAGCTGCTCATACACTACTAGCAGTCGCCGCCGCAACGAATGGAGGCGAACGGGTGGAAGAGACATCACCAAGGAATTGCTTCGCTATCAAAATAGCTCCCCCTCGGATGTAACGAGGATTTTTTTTTAAATCTGAAGATATTTCAGCGGGCAAAAGAAACGCCACACTTTTTTTTGTGAAAAAAGTCGAATCGGTTCCCCTTTCTTCCTGACGAGATCGATTGCCTGTCATTTAAAAAAAGGGCGTGTGTGCGGAGTGAAGGCAGTTTTAACCATTTAATGTAGGTATATAGGGTATTTTAGACATTTTTTACACGGTCTGGGTCTGAAGGACACAGTCGAGGATGGGATGCACACTGAGCACAGAGGACAAGGCGGCGGTGGAGCGCAGTAAAATGATCGACAGGAATCTGCGGGACGACGGGGAGAAGGCAGCCAGGGAGGTCAAGCTGCTGCTGCTCGGTAAGAAGATGGGGGACTCGGTCGGTGGACGAACTTCGCCGTGTGTTCGCCCACAGCTGTGTTAGCTCAGAGGATACGGGAGGGGTTGGGTCGGGTAGGGTGGGGAGACACCCAGCCATGAAACCTACATTAGTGTAGGATCATTTATTTGGTTAATGGTCAATGTTAGGTGGCGTCAGTTGTGAAGTGTGAAAGAGTTTCAATTCCGCATCGCTAGCATACTCCCCTCCTTGCTAGCTACAGTTAACCGTCAACTGTCAACTCTGCCTCTAAATGCCACATAACGTTATTTCCAAACGGGGGAAAAGACGCTAACTAAACGATTCTAGCCAAAATACCAACAACATAATACCAGTGTGTGCTTATTTGAGAGTTTTAATCCGTCTTATTCAAGTGTTGTGAGAATTACACACATAGCAAGTTTTTTCTTTCTTTTTTTCCCCCTGCTGTTGGCATCAGGTCCATTCAGCCATCTCTGTAGAGCATTTGTATTGACTAAATCCTTTCAACAATGGCACATTTCCTCTCGTCTGGTCCTGTGCAATGCAGTGAAAATAGGCCTATGGCTCATTAGGGGCCCAGGCCTGACTGAAAACTTTGTTGAGGCCAGACATTTTAGGATATTTAAAGGTTCAGTCCCTGTTTTTTTTTTTTTTTTTTACTTCAAAGTTAAGCTCTTCAGCAGGCTGGGTGGATTTTTCCCTTCCTGTAGTATTACCTACAGTTTCCTGTGTCTGAAAGCCAATTTGTCAATCCTGTTGCTTTGTCTTGTTCTCATCTCAAGTTCTAAAATACGATACATATATGAGTTGTCTGGAAAAGGACAGGCTTCTTGCGCAAGAAATACAGGAAATTGCAATAATGAAGTGGTATAAATGAAGTCTAATTTAGTTAAATGCCACTTAAACATGAGCAGAAAATCGCAGCCGTTTAAACTAAATTGCCACAGATCAACTTAAGTAACAAAGCAGTCGTATGACATTAAATTCTGATGTAGAGATAGTTGCCTCATGAACCTCTCATTACTCTCAGCAATGGCCAATTTTCACTGAACTTTGTTTACCAACACTGTTTTCAAATCCTACTCCTGTTTATGTAGTGCCTAAGGATCCACCAAGCATAGGCTTTTATTTTGGTGAATTGATATATCCCTATAAAACCTACCTCGAGGATGTATTATGAATGGCACAGTACACCCATTAAGGTCTTTTTTTTATTTCATTATGGGATTTCTTGCATTCATTACCACTGTTTTGCCATTTCCTAGCTTGCTCTGACAACCCTGTATGCACAATTACGCGATTTGCTTGCCTTTAGAAGCCAGCCATGTGTAACTGAATGGCATTACTTACATGTGGAGAAACACTGTTACCCTTGTAAATAGAGGCCATAGGTGAAAAACTTTTCCATCAACCCTTGAGGTGGTTGGCTTCGGGAAATGTTGACATGCACACACATGGTATGTGGGTTACCAGGACACAAAGTCTGAAACCAATATCAATAGTGGGCAAACACCTGACATAAGGCACAGAATAGGAGCTGTTAGCTGCTTTTGTGGACAGATTTGTAAGCCGGAGCAAGATAAACAAGATTTCTCCATGGTTTATTTGCACAACTCGGCTCCACATTTGCTACCATTCCTGTTGGTGTTCATCTAAATGACAGAATCTTTACATTTCTTGGGACAGAAGTAACATTTAGTGAGTTTTGTTTGAACCAGAAGGTGCATTTTTTCTTGCCACAGGTAGACTAGATTCCTCAGGTGCTTGGAGGCCAGATGGGGCTTGGTGACTTAAGCAGCGAGCAAGTTGGGTCAAGTTTCTGCTATGCTGCTGTAGGGCGGAATATGAGTTTTCATCAGGCGTTGCTCTGACAAAGGCCGGGTAGCTTTACTTCACCCATTCTCTGTTTTTGGTTGAAAAGCCCTTTTTGTCGAGATAGTTGTATGCCAGGTCGTGTGGCCCCCACGCGTGGCTGCTTCGGCACGACTCCCTGCCATTTATGTTTGATCCATTGAGCATGGTAGCCAGGTAACACACACACACACACACACACACACACACACACACACACACACACACACACACACACTGCCTCTACAGGCCGAGACACCAGGAGAAAGGAAGAGAGGGCCTGTAAGATGAGAGCACTACTAATGACAGAGGCATTAAAAATGAAAAAGCTCCACTGCAGAGAGGCAGGAGGCCTTAGTTAGGAGTTTTGGGTTGTTTACCCTGCGGATAAACAGTCACTGAAAAGATACTGTTTCAGAGTTGTTGCTTCACAAGCAATTTTGGAGTATACTTTTCTCTAAACACACCGTGTCAACAAAGATAAAGAGTCAACAAAACATGTGGCTTGATAGTAAAAGGCTGGCAGGGCTGCAGAGATGTGAAGAAAACAAAGTCTCTTGTGTATCTCATAGTGGCGACCCCCATACAAAATATGTAGCTATTTGTGTGTGATTTGGTGAGTGGTTCATGTGGTGACCACCTGGTTTTCAAGCGTTGTCCTAAATGTTAATCACAGGCTTACTTGCACTCCCTGTCGCTGGCATGAAATAACTCGGCAGATTAAAAACCCTCACTTGCAAAATGATTTGAATCTTTGTGTGTCTGTGCACGCTGTCAAGTTCAAACCTGGTGGCTCAGGTGTCTTTTGTAGAGAGGGAATGTGATCTGAACATTTCTCATTTAGCTCTTATTTTATCTCATGGACCCAATTATCCTACTATTCATATCTACATGCTAAAATAGATTACAATCTCCTCAGCCTAATTACTCTTTCTATAGCTGTCGTGTTACTGTGGAAAGAACAGGGACTGTGGGAACTGTTCTCTCTTTTAATGTTTCCCATATTTTTGAAAATTATGTAACCATCTCAACTGTGTTACTCATCTTGGAGACTTGGGGAAGGGGGGGACCCTCACAATAAACGCGGACAATCAAAGTAGTTCAATTGTTCACATTCCTTTATATCCGTAAGCGTTCAACATCCCTGTGAATATTTCAGCCTGTGCCACGGTGTGTGGGAAACAATCTTTTAGCTATTGATCTGCTTGTTGCCAGATCGATCCCTGTGATTTAGCACGGTCATTTCCCCCAGTGGTTAGCTCCGCTCCGAGGATCCTGGAATCCTTCATGAGTGACTCAGACTTAAATCCCCCTAGAGGGAGAGGGAAAGAAGAAAAAAAAAAAAGAGGAATTGGATAGTGAGTGAGAGGAACAATAAATCATGAAGGAAAAATGACTGTAGGAGACAGAACGTAAAGGGAGAAGAGGGATGTATATGTCTGAAAGAGAGTGGAGGACTGAGAGAGAGAGACAGGGATGAATAGCTTTGGCTTCATGCTGCTAATGTGGCATCACTAATTTGGTTAGCACATTGTGCCAAACTTCATAAGCCCTGCTTCAATCCTTGGACTGCTCGCACAAAAAGTGGACGTGTACGGGCCACAGCATGGCCCCCACAAACCTCCCCACAAATCCATCTTCATGCCATCGATTTGACCCCAAAGCGAGCATGAGCTACTTCGAAAAAACTGAATTTTTCTACGTTTAATTTTGGTCGGTATGCAAGGACACATTACGAATTCTCCATGAGAATCAGCAGCAACAAATGGTTAATCTGTAAATGGAGAAGGCTGCAGATCGGTAGCCATTTTAATCACATTTGTCTCCATACTGCCATTGTTATAAAACATTCCTCGTCCTCGCTGCTTTCGTACTCAGAGGATGATCATCCAGAGGGAGTTCCGAGAAGAAAGATGTGTTTGCGGTTGGCAGATAGAAAAAGCTCTGTTCTCTGAAACGAAAAAAAAAAAAAAAAACCTGTCTGCTTTTCACTGCAATGGTTCGCTTGGATTTTCCTAAAATAGTTTGAACCGCTAGAAACAGAAACCAGCTGCTCCAGTGGTTTTCACTGTGTAGCTGTTTTGGGGTGGGCGTATCAAAGCTGTGGGTGTGTAACATGACTCTGCATGAGGAGCGGTAGGTCAGGCCTGTGGTTCCATGTAACCCTCAGAGGTCTCTGTCTGAATGTGTATGTATGTGTGTGTGTGTGAGTGTGAGAGAGTCAAAACCAGGACAACTCTTTGTTTTGTGTTCTTCAGGCATAGAAGCTTTAACAGGAGCCACACCCTAATGATATCACTGGTGTTAAGAGGCCAAAGCCGAGTCGCTTACATAAACACATAGCTCACATGTCATTGATTTATAACGAAAAGTTATGTACCAGGATTTATGATATCTGTCCAATTGTAACCATAGGAATGCACAGAATTAGTGGGTAGGCTGGTTTTCGTTTCTGTGAACTGGTGCAAGTTGTGAGCCACGAACAGTAGTGGCAAAAAAATCTGACACACGTTGCTTCCACATTTTCGCAATTACAGTATGTTAATGTCATGATTCATCGAACATCACTGTTTATTTTGGCGTTGTTATACAAGATGAGCGTAAGTATTTCTCAGCAGTTCACACAAAAGTCAGAATCATTTGATTTATCTTGTTTAAATATGAGGAATTTGGGGAGATTTGGAAATTAGAAAGCTTTTTTGTTGACTCTGTTTTGGAATAACTTCTACAAAATAAAATAATTTTTTTTCTAATTGATGTGAATAGGGCTGCATTTATTATTTTAATTAATCTGCTGATCTTCCCGATCACAATTTCATTGTTTTCCCAGTCTGAAAGTCAAAAACCCAGAGATTCAGTTTACAATGATCTAACATGGAGAAAATCAGCACACGATCACATTTGACTAGCTAAAACCAGAAAATATTTGGGACATTTTCAAGATAAATAACTAGTAATGAAAGAATAGTCTGCAATTCTTTTTTTTTTCTCAATAGTATTTTTGGCGCAGAGGTCCCTATTTAAAAAGTATACGTAACCTTTTAGCAAACAAAGCAGTAAAAGCCACCAGAAACCACAGAGAAGTCACATTACAAGCAGTTAGCTCAAAGTTTCCTTTATAAGGAGGTTACTTTGAATTCAGAATGAGCTCATCGCCTGCCCTAAGTGGATTTTCATGCGTCCCACATTGAGAGGAACTTCGTCGGAATGTGAAGTGTCTGTGGCATTGTGAAAATGACTGTCGGGCAGGCCGAGGGCTGCAACTGTGCCAGCTCAGTGGCCAACCATGCCCAGTCAAGCAGCATATCTTGTGTGTGTGTGTGTGTGAGTGTGTGAGAGAGAGAGAGAGAGAGAGAGAGAGTCCCTCAGGGATTCACACAGCCGAGTATTTGGCCTCAGGGCCCAGGGAGCTGCCACTGTACCATCCCCCCCCCCCCCCTTCAGGGCGCTCCGGCACCCGAGTGGTGACACGTAATTAAAATAATGTGTCCTCAGGTGAATCTCATCCAATTATACTGAAGGTGAAGTGCCAGGCCTGTACTATCAGCATGCAGTTACTGCTGAGGGAGAGTTTGTAGGAATGCAGACACATGCACACTGCAGTGGGATGTTTATGTATTTATTTATTCATTTTGTGAAATTCAGACTTTTATAAATAAAGCTCAGGAGAAGCTGTAACTCACAGCATGAAGCAGGCGCAACAACAAGTGGCATGTGTCAAAAATGCAGTGTTGTATTTTTTTTTTTTATGTTTTTGCAACATCAGGGAAAGTGGAACTAGATTAAGCAGATGATTTATTATGCAAGAGCAAACCATCTTGTCTCTGCTGACAGTGTCACGAGGTAACAGATAGTGCTAGGTTTCATGATATGATTCCACTTCCTCTTATTCCGTTTCTAGAGCTGGGGGTGTTCACTCTGGGAATAGTCTCTCTCAAGTGGTTTGGAAAATCTTCCCTAGTGGCAGGGGAGCGTTACGTCAGTGACAACCGGCCAATAACCGAGTCTGTGGTGCTGTAATATGAGGACATTGAGTGCACATTAGTAGATGTAATGTAGTTTATGGTAATACCCATTAGAGCGCAAGAGTCTAATGAATGTGGTCGTCACAGATGGCTTTGATTGGAAAAAGAAAAATGTTAATAAAAGGGCACTTCCAAGTGACTGGTTATGAGGGCATCAAGTACAGTAGGGGGGGGGGGCAGATGCATAATACATAATGGTCTCGGTGGAAGCCAACATGTCTCACACACACACACACACACACACACACACAAACGCACAACCGCACAACCACAAAGCCTCCTCAGGTGACTGTGGCCTCACACTAGAGATGTCCTGGATATAACGAGAGCAGTTGCCATGGCACTGTGACGTTTGAGAGATCTGCAGAGCAAAAGCCGCGCCGACAGACTGATTCCCATTATGCTCTCCCCATGTACCCCCCCCCCCCCCCTTCCCCCGCTCTGTTCATCATAGCATTGTCTCATCGGTCAACTCTGACGGTAGTCGATCTAATCAGGCGCCGGCGCCGAGTGCCCTCCCATCCTGAAGAGACACCATGTTTTTCGGCAATTCACAGCGCCATCAATAATGATCTGTTTTACCGTTAAGTCGTGCGCCACGTAAAGGCCAAGAGCTGCCACACGCTGAGACAACATGAAGTGAAGTCTTTTGCTGATGAAATTCCAAATACACACACTGTTGCCTATACAATGTCAAGATTTATTCACAGCAAAGTAGAGGGAGTCATCTGACCCAGCTCGCCAGTTTTGACTAATCAGTATATTACGCTGGAATTGCATGAAACTGAGGCCGAAACAGAGGTTTAAAGGCTTCTTTTAACTTCAGCACACACATAACACACACTCTTGTTTCTCGGTTCTCCTTTCAAGAGTTGGTTTTTCTAAGGTTTCAGTTTCATGGTTCCTCATTATGCCATTTGGCCACATTAGATCATTCACTATATAAAATCATAGTAAGTGCTTATTTCTTTGAATTACACAGAAAAGGAAGTGTGCTTGTTGATATTAGGGTTAAAACACAGGAAAATATTAAGCTCTTGAGATATTTACACTCTAATAAACCTCTTTTTCTTCCGTCTTTTCTAGGTGCTGGTGAATCAGGGAAAAGTACAATCGTCAAGCAGATGAAGTGAGTGTTGCATCTAATCGTTCTACACACCGAACAGTCGAACTCTTTTTCTTTCTCCAGTGTATCAACAATGACTTCTTGCATCAGATATGTGTAATGGCAGCTCACTAGATATCATTTTCAAAGGGTATTCATTTTCCACAACACAAACAGTGTCAAACACCAATCATGCTTTTACCGTGTCTCTCTGGGTAATATTACGCTCTGCGACTCGCACTACAAACAGGTACCATCCGTAATGAATCATGAAGACAAGCCAGCAGAATGCATTAGGATAGACTCAGACACACTCATCAATCAGCAGACATAGACGTGCCAGAGGCGCGGCATTTTTTACATTTTTAAGCAGCTGCTCTGCTGTGATATTGCTTTTTCTATTGGCTCCTCACCTGTGAAGGATGTGCTGAACGCTGCTCCTGTAGACCTGCTATTTTCCTCACCACTGTGAAATCCGTTTAATGTAAGGGAATTATTTACTTCACATTTTTTACCATAATACAGCTAACAGATCTACATGTTGTCAGCTGGTGCAAGTTGCTTCGTGTGCTTCCTGAAAGCCTTATGATTGTCTGTATGTTTCTTCAATAAATCCCATGAAAAGGCCCCAACCGACTATGAATTGATGCTTCTAACTGGGGCTGAAAAATGACTTGAAATATTATCAAAATCACAAAATGACCAAGTGCCATTTTCCAATCGTAGGAGCTGCAATTTTGTTTTGATAAAGGTAATGTGTCACAACATGCCATAAATGAAGCATTGTGGTGCTGCAGAGATGCCCTGGCCTACAAATCATATTCTGCAGATGTGAAGTGCTTGTTTGGTATAAACCCAAACAAAAATCACATCACCATCATTTTTATATTTTTTTTCCAGTGAAAATCAAAAGCAAAAATGACCATTCCAACTGAAATTGTGACTCAATATCTTTTCTCAACTTGCAGCCTCTCGTTAGTGAGGATCTGCTGCTTTTCTTTGTCTGTTGTTAATATATTTTGGGGCTTTTAAACTGTTACTTGAACAAAACAAGCCATTTTGAAAATGCCACCTTGGGCTTTCGGAGCTTGTGACTAGAGGAAATAATGGGGAGATTAATCAATAATGAAAATACTTGTTATTTGCAGCCCTACTACCATGTTTTGCCTGTGTCGTTAAAGCCTGATCGAGCTTATTAAGACCTATGGTTTTGTCCAATAACTAATATAAAAAAAACACTGTTGTACTGGGTGATGTTCCTTCATTACTGTAAATACGGCAACTTATTTTTTATTTGAAGTCAATCCCACATTCACTGCACTACTGCCATAAATACTCACTAACACACCAAACCTTTAGCTGAGACAAATGCCCTAATTACTGTTGTTTAAGTAACATTTAAGTAACATTTTGTAAAAACAGCTGTGTCCAGCTGTTTTAGGAGACTTTAGCCTTTTTTTTTTTTTAAATAATACAAGTATTTACTCGTGACCCATTTTTAAAAATGTACATCTTCAGGAGGAACAAATGAGCTTGAAGCTGAGAGCTGCAGACAGGGACTGGAAGTCCAAAGGTACAGAGAGGTGGACTAACACATTGGTGGGATTTTATTAACAATATAAAAAAAATAGGACAATGCCAGTTTTTCCTTTAACTGCAAAATTTTTTCTTAAAAGGTAAAATAAATGTTGGAACCCAATACATTCATTTTACATAGTGTGCATTCAGATGATGCTTTTATTGTAGAGTAACTGACACTGAGTGCAACTGTAAGAAAAGCTTCTTTTCCCTGGATGACCATAATTTAAGCAGACAAAAATGAGGAGCATAGAGATCAGGGCCACTGTGGCCTGGCAATATTTCTGCAGAAGTAACAATGAGCATGTAAGGTCATAGTGTTACAAGAAAGATTAAATTAGAACTGAGGAGAAAACTAAGTCTGAGAAAGAGATTTCTAAGAAAGCAGACACATCACTGAGTGGAGAGAATTTACTGTGAAAAGATTAGTTTTCTGTCTCTGACAGTCGCAGTTGGAACAATTTTGTCAATGCCGTTTTGTTGCTGTAACAGGCTACGTTTCTGCCATGCATGAAAATGGCTCCACCGCTGACCAGCTTTTTCTTCCCCCCTTCTCTGCAGGATCATCCATGAGGCGGGCTACTCAGAAGAGGAATGTAAGCAGTACAAGGCTGTGGTCTACAGCAACACTATCCAGTCCATCATCGCCATCATCAGAGCCATGGGGCGCCTCAAGATTGACTTTGGCGATGCCGCAAGAGCTGTGAGTGAGGGCGAAAGAGGGAGAGAGAGAGAGATATGTAATTTATTTGGTTTAAAGTAGAAACCTGAAGTGAATTTGTGGTGGATACTAACATTGAATACTCAGCAAATGCTTAGGTTTGAATGTCGTCATAGTTTTCAGAGCTCATTTCACATCGTTTAAAATGTATTGTAATGGTTAAAAGTCAAATTAGGTGATGTGACGTTATGTTGTCGCTGTCACATATGCAGAAGACATGACAGCGAAATAGTTATTGTTCAGCAAATGTCTCTGAAATGTCCTTATAACCCTGTAACTGGGATTTCAACTTGGTAGCAGATTAATGCTAACTATAATGGTGATGCAATGACTTTGATGGTTGATTTTCTTAATATTGACACCACCCTGAATCCTCTCCTAGGATGATGCACGACAGCTGTTCGTGCTGGCGGGCTCCGCAGAGGAAGGCTTCATGACAGCAGAGCTGGCCGGTGTCATTAAGCGGCTCTGGAGGGACGGAGGTGTTCAAGCCTGCTTCAGCCGCTCCCGCGAATATCAGCTCAACGACTCGGCGGCATAGTGAGTCACACAGACACACACTAACACACACACATACACATAAACAACCTAGGTAACAGTTGCAGGGTTCGCCAAAATCGTGAGTCACCCGCTGAACAGACCCGATGGCCCTGAACACGGCAATTTATGTTAACCACTTTAATGACAAAGTCTTTCACATCAGACGAGCAGAAGCCCAAATTACTGCCATTCCACTGCAAACACACAGAAACCTGATGCCATAAATAGCCAAACACATGTTGTCCCAGCCTTCAGCCATGTTCAGAGAGCAGAAAGCTACCGTACCGTGCATCTGTCTGGACTTTTAGACTGTCAATATTTGCCCTCCTTTGCCAACCCTGAAGAGCAGTGGCTGGAAAGACCATTTAAGCTTTGACCTTACACCTCAGCACAGGAGTATTCGCCACTGTGCTTAAAAAGTGAAAAGAAAATCACACAAACACAAAGATAATTCTCTCAACTGTCCCGTTGTTTTTCTTGACCAGCCTGAAAATGGTATATATTGTGCAAGAGCCCTTGGCACTGGATCAAATGATATCATCACAAGGCGAGTTTTGTTGGGAGAAAAGCCATTTGCCTTGTTTTTTTTCTGCCGTGGAACAAACATGAGTGGTTACGGCACAGGCCGAGGGAAGGCAGTAGTTGGCCATTTTCTAATTGCTTCCTTTAATCCTGCTGTCCAGGGGCTTTTCATGAATAGGCAACACCATTGTTAAACCTAGTATGTTTCACTTCACTTAATGCCTTGGAAGACAAACAAAATGCCTGTTAGCTTGAAGGGGAGATTACTTGTGTTTGTCTGCTAGTTACAAGAGGTCACTAATCTTTCTCCTTTGAAATTTATCAGCAGTAACCTTGAGGTAGCAGCCTGGGTCATGATATGTCCAGATTGTGTAGGTTTGCATGTGATGTCCTGTGTGGGCAAAGCAGATGCACCCATATAAATCTTGTTATATAAATCTGTAAAAGCTGTAAGCAGAGGCACCAACATTTAGGGGTTTTTCATGAAAGAGTTTTAATATTTAGATGGTTGCTATAGCGTCAGAGTGAGAGCCAATGATCATTTTGTCTGAAGAATGCATTTTCATTCATTTGTCACAGTTACTTTTAGAAATGCGGTTTCTTTTTCATTTGTTATGAAGGTTCCTGCCATGGAAAAATGTCTCATGGCTGCAGCTCACCATTATTTTAATTATCGTGTTCTGTTGATTATTTTCGGTTTGTTTGATGTTTGACCAACAGTTCAAAACCCAAAGATAATAAGTTTAGTAACATAGAACACTAAGAAAATGAGTAAAAACTTTTCATTTGAGGAGCCTGAACCAGGGAATTTTTCACATTTTGTTACTTAAAAAAAAAAAATTACTTAAACAATTCAATTTTCTGTCAATCAACTAATTGATTAATCAATTAATCATTCAATGAAAATGTCTCATATGCACTGTTGGTATGCATAAGAATTGCATATGTAACATTAAGAAGATTGCCCAAATATCATGATAAATTAATAAAATTCAATTCATGTATTTGCAGCCGGTACAGTTCACCTGGGATATTTAAAAAAAAAAATACATACATACATACAGTTCACATACAGTACATAACAGTTTTTTGAGATGGTTGCAGTAGCGCAAGAGTCAAAGAGTGCAAAGGTTTTACTGTGCAAAGGTTTGGGGAGTTTTGTTGACGGGGCAATAGTTTTAGAAAGCAGAACAAAAGAAGAATGAAAAACGTGTTAAAATGGATAAAGATTCATTCTCTCATGATCCTATTCAGGACCATGAGAACACTAGAGTCTATCCCAGCAGGTATTTGGCAAAATGTGGAACAGCACCCTCGACAGATGGCTTGTCCATTCCAGGACTAACACGTTCACACTTGTATGTAGGACGTTTCCAGCTCAGCTGCATATTAGACCCAGGGAGGAGCCCAGAGGGAATCTACCAAACAGAGAGAAAACAATGCACATTCCCCACTGAAAAGTCCAGAGCTCAGATTTAAACCCAGGATCTGTTCGCTGTGAGGCAACAGCTATAACCACTAAGTCACTGTGCTGTCATGTCTAAATTTAACAGAGGCAAGTTTTATATATTATCTCTTAAAATGCGTGTCCAGAATTTTAAAGCTCAATTTTACTGCAGCAGAAAATAACTCAATTTCACAACATGTGTAGTCATCTGAGCTGAACTGGTTTCTCAGTAAAATGTGTTACAAAGAGTTTTTCACCCAGAAAGGTTGAATCATGGCTTGTTTTCAGCCTGAAACTTGCAATCCAACCAGAATTATCTTTGAGAATGCTTTGGGAGTTGTTTGTTACACTCTTGACCTTGATACTTCTGACACAAATTTTCCCACTTGTTTCCCCCTCCTGCTCTTTCTCACTCCCTCTTTTTTTCCTCTCCTTTCTTCTCCTGTTTTTTGTTTTCCCTCCTTAACTCCTCCTGCTCTTTGTGTCCTTCCCTCAGCTACTTGAACGACTTGGACAGGATATCCCAGGCCACCTACATCCCAACTCAGCAGGATGTCCTGAGGACTCGGGTCAAAACCACGGGCATTGTGGAGACGCACTTCACATTCAAGGACCTGCACTTCAAGTGAGAATTTCTTCACTGTAACAACTGGCTCGAGCTCAAAGTGTTTTACATGATGGCTTAATTAGGTTTCCTTCCTGTCACTGACTCATTCGCTCCCATAGAAATTCCCTTTTGTGCATGTATAGCTGTAAGTTGTGACACAGTGTGTGAGGGTGTTGCGCATATCAGTGATGACTCAGTTATGGCCCTCTGTTGAAAAAAAGAAAACAGACAGGAAGTGGGGGCAGTAGGCTTGATGATGTCATGATAGCAGAAGTTTGGTGGCTGATGCCGTTGCCATTAAAAGTCACACTGCCGGCCACAAGACACAAGGGAGAAATTCCATGTTATTTTTCCCATAAACACAAACGCACATACAAATACAAAGCCTTGCTCAGTGTTTCTGTCTTTTCTAAATACACAACATAATGTACTGTACCATTGTGCAGTATATTAATGTGCAGGATGTCAGTCAAGATGAATGTTTTTGTTTATTTGATTTTCAGCAGTTTACAGGCTTTTGAGTGTTAATTATATATTCATTATTTTCCGCGATAATCTGCCTTTTACACCGATTACATGTGGGACTTACATGTGGGGTCTATTTTCTACTTCTACTTTGCTTTCTTTCTAAGCAGACTAACTGGAGCTGTTACAGAAGCTAAATGCAGCTTTTGTTGTTTCTCTTAACCATACCGCAGTTACATGCATTGTTTTTCTGATTATTTCATACAGTGGCCCTTTGGAATCTGATTCGAAAATACTCATTGCTTTGAATGAGCTAGTCTTTTTCAAATTGTCCTGAATGGGAGAGATGCATGAAGATCAGAATGGGCCGACATTAAACATTTCCATAGAGGCAGTAAAATAACCCACATTCATGCCTCTTGGCTGAACAAATAAGAAATACAGTGCAAAAGCCAGAAGTCTGTTCCTCTTCAGAATCTTCTTTTTCTTCTGCCGTGACACAGTCATTGTGTGAACTGTTCTCTCTACAGATGTTTGCTGGACAGATGCATATTTATTTCCCTTTTAACATTTACTATTATCAACAGCCATAATAACTCCTCCACACATTTCTTTTTGCCTTTGGGCTCCATAAACACTGCTTGTATTGTATTGTATTTTACTATTGTATTATTTCACTATATTGTGTTGTATATATGAATGCTGAGGAACATGTTAACAGTTATAGTTCCTCCTATTGTGTTGTATATATGAATGCTGAGGAACATGTTAACAGTTATAGTTCCCTCCCCTCTCTCCAGAATGTTTGATGTTGGCGGTCAGCGATCTGAGAGGAAGAAGTGGATCCACTGCTTTGAGGGTGTGACCGCCATCATCTTCTGCGTGGCCCTCAGTGACTATGACCTGGTGCTGGCTGAGGATGAAGAGATGGTGAGTGGTGCAGCCCCTGACTCATGGAGGAAAGATGATAGCAAGGCAGTCTGTGTTTAGGCACAGCGGGAACTCGTGTTTACTGGAATCGTGATGGGTCAGAGGAGTAGAAATAAAGGATAGGCTCCATACAAGCTCTGTTCCATGTTTATGGATCAGTGATCACACAACTCGCTTTTCCAGTGTGAAAGCACAATGAACCGACGTCATCTTCCCTTCTTCCCACCAGAACCGGATGCATGAGAGTATGAAGCTGTTTGACAGCATCTGCAACAACAAGTGGTTCACAGACACCTCCATCATCCTCTTCCTCAACAAGAAGGACCTGTTTGAGGAGAAGATCAAGAAGAGTCCTCTCACCATCTGCTACCCAGAATATGCCGGTGAGACTCGGAGGATTTTGCAGAAAATGTTTTGACGAAAATAACAGAAATTTCCCCAAGATAAACTAATGATGATGAATGTTTTCAAAAAGTTTAATGTGTGCGTTCTGCCATAGCTGTGGATTAAAAATGACTAATATAATGATGATATATAATATTTAATAATTTGTGACCTTTATAGATGCTGGTAGGCCGATTTTATTACCTTTGGAGGAGCAAGGCTAGCTGTTTTACAGTGTGCATGCTAAGCTAAGCTAAACAGCTGCTGGCTGTATCTATTATTTTTATGAATTATTCCTTTAAGCATTCAGTCTTGAGAGGAAAACATATGATGACAGTAAATGTTCAGTTAAATGTTGCGTTTCCAGGATGAAGCTCAGCCATGTCAGTCAGCCCTCGAATACTACAAATATACAATTTAAATGCCTTTACTTCCTGACTGCTTCACTTCCTGCTCCCCGTCTTTTCCAGGCTCCAACACGTACGAGGAAGCAGCTGCGTACATCCAGTGTCAGTTTGAGGACCTGAACAAGAGGAAGGACACCAAGGAGATCTACACCCACTTCACCTGCGCCACGGACACCAAGAATGTGCAGTTTGTCTTCGATGCCGTCACCGATGTCATCATCAAGAACAACCTGAAAGACTGTGGTCTCTTCTGAGGATAATGACGATGAAGACGACAACCCTTTTTTCTTGGTAAGGAACCCTCATCATCGTGTGTGTGTGTGTGTGGCTCTGCGTCACGGATGAGGACACATGACGGGATTATGAATGAATGCGTGTTCACTGTAGCATCAGGATGCAGTGGGAGTTGCTGATTAAACCATTTGGGAGCCTGGTTTAAATGTATTCCTGTGCAATCTAGCTCCTCTATTGCAATTGTTTTTAACAAATTGGCTTCCAATGGTTTGTTTCCAGAGCTTAAGCATTCAGAATTATGGAAGAGCATAGCTTGAGTTGACCAAAGATGCAGTGTAATGAAATCTATAATTTAATCACTGAATCACTGAAATGATTGCCTTTCTTTATGGGAGGATTAAACATTTTCTGCTCCACTTAGATATTTGTGAAATGATAACGGCAAGGTTGAGCTCTCTAGAACATGTCTTTAAATTGATCCATCCCTCCTTTTTAACCCCCTTTCTTCAATTTTCTTTCTCCTCTTCTCTCCTTAGGCAGTGGAGCCAGCTTATTGTGCATCTTTGGTGGGGAAGATGAGAAGAGTCGGGAGGATCAGTCACGGACCAGTGCTGTACTATATGCCACTTTTAACAGCTTTATTTATGTTTTTGTCTTGGAACATTTTGAACTAGCGTTACGACATTTGTGTAGGATGTTTGTATCATTGTAAAAACGTCACAGCAAATTTTCGCACATTCTGTTTATTTCCTGATTTGTTTTTTTTGGTATTGTTTTAAATTTTTGAGGAGAAGGAGGAGATCGTTTTTTTGCTGTTCCTTCTGCCGCTGTCTCTGGAAAAGGAAACTTTGCTATTGATGGAAATGCTTCTTTTCTTCCTTCCATACAACCAAAAAGGGAAGAAAAGAGGTACAACTTTGAGTCCAGTTTGTTGGTACTTGTGCCTTCGCATGCCTTTCACTGCGGTCGTAGTCCTAATGCTTGTTCTGTTGCCTGCTGAATTGTTCTAAACATAAAGAGGTAAACTGTTTTCATATGTTAGTGTCCCTGCTATCTTCTATGTGCACACCACTGAGCTATCAGGACGAGGAGGAGGATTTCCCTCTGGTCTAAAGGTACATGGGTCTCCATGGTGACCAACATGTAGCCTCCACAGTCCCCTACCCCCACCCCCACCCGCCATGACAATGGAAGATCACACAGTACAATACTGAGATGTATATTGTTACATTTACCCCACAAATCTGGGGTTCAGGTTTTTAAACAGTGTATAAAATATCCATTCTTCCCAACCATTCAGAAAATGGTTAGTCAAGGCACTGAGCTTATAATACGCTCAAGTGTTAAAAGTACAAAGACCAGAGTAGGCACATTTTACTGTATATTTTAATGTATTTGGTGTTAAGGAGATAAAAAACTGAACCACACAAAAAGATGGTTGTAAAGGTAAGGATGAGGTCTGGAATGTTTTGAGTTTCAGATGCCATTCTTGGATCTTATCCAGTGATGATTTGGGAGTAGAGGTGCTGCTTGAGGATCCTTGAAAACTTTCATTCAGGTGATGGAAACAAAGACGGTCAAGGGAAGCCTGATCTGTGATTTTGAGATCAGTACTACTTTGCCAAGAAGAGTGGTGATAAATACGATCCTGGATCTGTTCATATAAAGAAACTGCCACAACTGTCAATGTATGTGTATGTTCTCCACGAAAGGAGAATCTTTGTAGACTCATCTCCCTTATTTTGCTAATAAAAACCATTTACAAACATGGAGTTGAGAGCATTTTCTCTTCAATATGCTTAAAGATTAATTCTTTTCTTCTTACAAGATGCTTTTATCAGATAATAGGTCGCACACTCCTGCTTTGATACTTTTGTATTGGTGTGGTTAGACTGTGCCATTCATCAGCCACTTCACAACCTCATGAATGGCGGGCCTGCCACCATGTACTGTTCATACTTTGTGCCTTATGAACTGAGAGACCTTGTCTCCTTACAGGGAGTCCCACACAGGCAATTAGAGTTCTGCACACAACCTCCATCACATTTCTATTCCTGTGTGGCCTTTACAGCTGTGTCACCTGCAGTAGTACTCAATACAGAGGCCTGTTAGGGTGAAAATTTATCATGCCTGAACATTTGGGTCACAGCGAGAAGGTTGACTTGTGTGTACTAATGATGGAAACCACCTTAATCTTATTTTCCTATTTGCTCATGACTGTGATGTAAGAGCATTAGTAAGGCTGTCTCCACACTGTGACCGGTGTGTATATTTGACTTGTGTCACCCTAACAATTTGCATTGTAAATGTGCTGTGACATGACCTGAGAATGCCGTCAATGATTTGGCAAAGATGCTTGTTTACACTACAATTGACACGAGCATTTTTTCCATTCATTCAGAGTTGTGTAAGGCCACCTGGCACATACAAATACATTTCTACACACCTTTTCTTCTGTTTTGGTCTTCACCGTCTCCTGGCTCTTTAATGTTGCACTGTGTTCATCAGCTAGCTGCCAAATTTGTTTGACATTTGACTCTGGGCAGGTAGCATGGAGGCTTCCAGTGTCAAAAAAGTATGGTGTAGAAACTAAAGAGTGACTACACTCGACCAGAACAGTAAAGTTGTAGGCTATTAAAACTGACGAGATGGATTAAAAGATGCTAGAAATTGCCGAGGAGTGATAAAAACTTCAACTTCTTTTCCATCGCCATCTTTCAGCAAGTCGTTTGAATCGCTGCGAATATAAATGAACAGATAAGCAGGGAAATGGTAGCATATCATGCTAGCCGCTTTTATTAAACCTCGTGTTTAAATAACGGCAGAATTGTCATATCACTACGCCATGAATCGTCATAGCTCCACCACAACCCGCACTATTTTCCCCATCACACTGTAAGTACAGTGTGGACGCAAAATTAGCATGGTTCATCTTTACATGCGCCATCTTACAGGAAGTCGTTTGAATCGCTAGCTAACAAGGGGAATGATAGCATATCAAGATAGCTGGTTTTATTTAACTTCACGTTTAAATAACGGCAAAATAAAAAAAAAAGTTTGTCCCATCACTCAGCCATGAATCCTCAAAGCTCCGCCACGCCCCGCGCTATTTTCCCCTTTACGCAGTACCTAGAGGGCGTGACGTGGACGTTAAGTGATTCTTTACATTCGCCATCTTGCAGGAAGTCGTTTGAATCGCCGAGAATATAAAAATATAGATTAGCAGCGGAATGGGAGTCTGACAAACTAGCTGCTTTTCTTCAACCTCATGTTCAAATAAGTTAGTCACAGTACAACAGCCATGAATTCTTAAAAGTGCGCCACGACCTGCGCCCCCCCACCCCCCCTTTTCACAAGGTAAGTAGAGGGGGCTGTGGATGCTAAATCAAATTAACAGCAGCCATTTTTAATGACAGTGGACTTAAAATAACGCATTTAACATGAAGTTAAACCTCCGTTACACATTTCTCCAGATGAATGGTGTCCTACAGGCCTGTCATTCTTCCCAGAACTGACTAAATTGGACCAAAGTGAAATAATTTCCGTGCAGTCATCTCAGGTAGGCCATTTACATTTTTAGTTCCTGCTGTGTTGCCTATTTTAGCTCATTGTGCACAAGTGTTGGCTGTTTCTGTGACACTGCAAGGAGGTATGGTTATTTGGTCCTCCTCTTTTTCTATGTTCACCCACAATATGATTTCTTGATGAAATACTGTTTTAAAGCAGAATTAAAGCAAAACTTAGCTATGTAACTTTGGCTATATAGTGGACACTGAATGCAACACTACTGTTTAGCATGTAGCTAACATACTAAGCCATAGTAGCACAGGTGGAGAAGAGTCACATGTCAGTGAACTGACTCATCAATATTTACCTACAGTTTGCTAACATTTGGGCACATTAGCAACCTCAGGCTACCAGAATAAGTGAGGCCCTCAGTGTTGAGCAGTAGGGTGTGTTATTGCTAATGAATTCACTTTTTATTTGTAAGAAGAAGAATGTGTCTCTCTAAAGTCTCACCATAAAGGAAGTCTCTGCAAAGTTATTGTAAGAAAGACAAAGTACTGCTTTCATTGCCTGTCTTGACATAAGTGATGCCCTTTTCAATTGCATTTTAAGTGATTTGGCACCACAGACACATTGCATGTGTGGGTTGTTGCACACAACAGTGAACACTGCTGATTTGCATGTGTGCTGGCACTCTCCTGTGCCGCAGCGTTAACCCTGGCATCCCCATGTTTGAGCTTTTATGACAGCTTGACAGTTCAAGGAGTAACAAGTCTGAGGGAGATAAATGAGGGAATTGAGAAGGCTGGGTTTAGGCTGGGTTTATGTGAAGGCTCCCATGGGTGGTGCCAATTGGAGAAGCTGAAAGTGTGTGTATGTGGGTGGGTGGTGCATATGCTGTATTTATAGCACCTTTTAAAGATGAGAGAGGGAGAAGAAGACGGAGTGAAAAAGGGGGCGGCCATGATACATCAGTGTAAAAGCAACACCGGTGACACTGTTGAGGTTTCTCTCAGCAATAAACAGAGGGTGGGGAATGTTTGAAGTGTGTGTGAGGGAGAGGAGGAGGGTGTAAATAGATGGAACAATAGAGGCATTATTTCACTGTTGTTCCATTGCTGTGTTTACTGTCTGCTCTCTCCTCGGTCACTTTCTCTGGGGGCAGCGGTTGGCAACAGAGATAAGACACGCTTATCAGCTCTGCTGCCATGTTGGACAGGATGCATTGTAACACCAAACTAGACTCACTTTTAGTCTGTGCTGCACATTCTTCCACTCACTGGATCTAATACCATACAGTAGATGTCATGTGTCGGCAGTCTGCCTCTGGGCCCAGCATGAATGTGGATTATTTATAGTTGATTCTTTTATCACATAACTCTTCTATCTTCCAAGTGATTGCTATTTTCTGCTGCTTTAGCTCTGAAGTGGCCTCTCGCCCTGCCAGTGAGAGGCCACTGTTGTTTACAGAAGGCCCTCCAGAGATATATAAAGGGTCAGTTCACCAAAATTAAACACGCACTTACTTAGATAGTTTGTTTTTTATTTCTGTGCCATGCTAAATATTTGTCCCATCCCACATGGGATCACAAGACACTACTGTATGTCTAACATACAAAGACATTAACAGATGTAAAAAGTTAAGAATCTTTCCCATGATAAAGGGCTATGACTTCTATAACCAGAAAATTTAGCGAGACAGTGAGGGAGACACAGGGCCCCTTTTTTCTTTAAACCCTGATGAAGTTTGATGGCAGCATTATAAAGATGTTAAAGCCTCACTATATTGTACCCCACAACCTTAAAAATGTTTACTTATTTTTATGTCTCTGCGTCGACGACAGCCAGGGATGGAGGCATTATGTTTTCTGTCCCCCATTCTCATGAACAAACTTACGCTTGGACTTAGGGATGAACTGATTTGATTTTGGTGGTCAAAGGTCAAGGTCATTGTGACTGCATAAAACAGGTTTTTAGTCATTTATTATAATTGTATATAACACATACGATATAATAAAGATAATTTAGGTTTTACGTGCTGAGGTTTTAGATATTTGCCTCTGGAAAATCAGCCACATCCCGGTAAAACTGAGTTGTTATTTGAGGATAATATGCCTCAGATTCACAGACCTAAACTTTCAATAGTTTTCTTGGGATTATTTCTTTGGTACAAAGTTGTTCTTAAAAATGTTTTCAGGTACCCAGGAAAAGCTTCTGTTGGTTTATTTTAAAATTTTGTCATATAATGCTTTATGCACTTCAGATGATATTCAGTTGACCTCCATTGTACTGAGGTGACAGCAGAAATCTCAGACACAGATATCCCAGAAGCTCTCTCAGCATTTTTACCGTTCAGTGACATTACACGCTAAATGATTAATCAGTCAATATAAAAAAAATTAATGACAATTTGATTTATAATTAAAATTGTAGTTATTTTTTGTCATTTAGGTGGATTGAGACAGGAAAGCAATCTGTTTAATTTCCTCTTTCATCTAGGAAGAGGGTTGTGAACATAACCGCAGCTGAACCAAGACATTAAAAAGAAAAAAAAAACACACACAGTGTATCTGCTCTTTGTAAGTACCAATCAGAATTGTGTTTGAAGTTGTGTACGGATGTTATGTGATGACATAACGGAGACAGCCATTTTGAAAAAGCAAGTTCAGTCGTCATCATTAACCCAATTAGCTTCTTTTTTTTTTTCATTCATTTGTGTGGCTGTGTGTGAGAGTGCGTGACAGATTGGCTGTTAGCGTGAGTGTGCGTTGGTGAGTGAGTGGGTGGGTGGAAGGTTTGATGTGTTTACGCCCGTGTGCCAGGTATAGGGGATATGTGTATGTGTGTGTGTGTGTGTGTGTGTGTGTGTATGTATGTATGTGATGTGCAGGATGCTGTGTGTGTACACTGCAGCTGGATGCCTGCTATCTGTGCTTCTGCTCGTCACCTTGTATTTGCTGGCCATGTTCATTCAGTCTGCAGATTCCAGCTTTCATCTCCACACAGACGCAAGCGTATATACACACACACACACACATACACACACACACACACACACACACACACACACACACACACACACACACACACACACACACTCTTCCCCTGTGATGTCATTGATTCCATGCTCCATGGCAACAGTGAGTGAGGGAAGCGAGAGAGGGAGAGAGAAGGAAAAAACGGAGAGATATTCCTTCATAGTGAGAGGATGAAGTTGTTATAAATAGCTCCTGATGTTCCTAGGTGTCCAACGGCAGGGTTGG